GGAAGTTTGAGGTCAGAGCGACTGAGTAGAGAAGATGAACAGAGTACTCATGCCGACATGTTGAGGGTGGTGAACTTCAGTCGCTCATTGCCAGCGAGAGGGATGGCAAAGAGGCCCTGGGGATTCAGGTGAGGGGAAGAGGAGGGAGGGAGGGAGAGGCCGACAAGTTAAAATGAGAGATGAGGCTTTGTGCATGTACTCACACATGTGTAAGAGAAAAGAGAAACAGAGAAGAAGCAGATAATAATGAACCGCTGTTAAAGAGCTAAAAATATTTTTATCCGCGGTCCAATTCCACAGATTCAGGAGTTGGAACGAGAGTTGCTGGGTGTTCGCAGCATCGGCTGAGTGACCAGCGAAACGAGAGGGACAGAGAGATGGACGAAGTAGCTCAGAGTCTCTCTCTACAAGTCTCCAATCTTCAGGTGAATAATCATCTCTTAGTTTGTTGACATTTCGTAATTCGCATTATCTGGTTTACGTGATTGTGTTTTTGAAATCTGTTCAACCTTTTTGTTGAGGTCTTGTTAAAGAGCTTATATCATACGATGAAACTCTAGTTTATTTTTAAATGTGTTCAAAATTATTTTGAAAAGGTTCAATTCTTTTGCAAACAGGCTCAGTTGGAATTGGCTGAAAAGAGGTCTGCCCAACCGTCTCCTGAACTGATCAAACTTCATAAAGAAATGGAGAGACTAAAGGTAGAGTGGAGAGAAAGAGAGAGAGAGGGAGAGGGAGAGATTGGGTACAATGGTTTCTTTAGTGGTGGTGCTATTTTTAGGAAGGGAAGTGAAAATTTTGGTAGTTTAGTTGCTTGTGTATTGGGAGAGAGAAGAGAGAAGGTTGTTAGAAAGGAACGGTTTTGTAGAGGTGCTATTGTTAGAGAGAGATGCAATTTTGTTGTTTGTGTATTGCAGGAGGAGCATGGAAAATCTCTGTTACTGGAGCAACAGAGATCTGGTGATCTGGAGGATCAACTTAGACAGCAGTCTGTTGTGAGTCAGATTAGTTACGTAACAGGCGATAACACGTGTATCCAATGGGAACTCCTCTAATCCAGACACCAATGGAACAGAAGAAAGTGTCCATATTAGCGAGGTGTCCTTATTTCAGGGGTTGAATTGCATGCAAGAACTGTTCTTTGGGAAAGAAAAGGTGTCCTTATTAGAGAGGTGTCCTCACTTCAGGGGTGTCCTTAGAGAGAGGTCCCACTATAGAGGGAAAAGAGATGACAATGCTTCTCTCTCTCCCATATCTAGAGGGAGGAACTGCAAGTGGCTAGTCTAGAGATGAAACTATCACAACTCTCGGAGACTGTTGGTAGCTATGTTCTCCTACGTGAGCAAGACCAGACAACCATCCAGTAATGATTATCATGACGAATGCCCTTCTTTCTCTAGGAAATGTCTGTACTAGTATAGTTGAAGGGAATCTGGCAGAATAATACTGGCTTAATTTTGAAATTTTTGGAACTCTGTGCCCCTATTGGTTTGTTCTATCTTTAGTAACGTTTCTAAATATAGCCCTCATATATACTACCTTAATTCTCTCTCTCTCTCTCTTCCTTCCCTTTCTACTCCACTTTTCTATCTTCATCGCCTCTTAGAAAACTAAAGGAAAGGATAAACCAACTGGATGATGAAAACACCCAACTCACTAAAGAACACATTGAAAGGTTAGCAGGTGACTGGTAGGTCAATTTTTGCTGGGCATGCTGAAAATTTTTACGTGGCTGTCCATAATTTGGGGTTCTTTTTTTAAGAGTCTTTGATTGAAAACTATTTCCATTTATGAGAGGAGCGCAGGGCTATAGCAGCCTGCATGGGGTCCAATGTCAATGGCTTCTGTTTTGAACACAACGTAGTAAATGTCGGCTCTCATTACCAGAGGAGATTATTTAATTAACCCTCTAGACGCGAGAAGTCGACCCACGCCGCTGGACAGGTGACTGGCCTTCAAGAGAAGATCGCGAAACTAAAGGTGTGTGTAGTTGAGTGATGTCGTTGTTAGAAATTATTTGGTTACCTTTGCTTCGCCTGATCTTGTTGATGACGCATACATCATGCCTGGCTCTGTATGTATATGCACGTGGGCTACGTCGATAATTGTGTTGCGTATTAATTATGTTTCTATTATTCTCTTGTGTATTTCGCTTAATTCCCCAATGAAATAGTTAGGGTGCAATTATAGCCAACGTGATGTCAATAAGTGTAAAGTTTCTAGTTCTTGGTTATAGCACTAATTGGTTGAGTCGTCTACTGTTTTGCCTTTTCAGACGTTTCTGAAGCTGGCAACATCGAAAATCACCGAAAAGGCCGCTCTACCGTCGAATTTAGAAGGTAAGTTTTCCGCATGCGGTTTTAAATTTTTGCGGGTCGATTGCGCGCGCCGCCCGCGGACGTATTACGCATGCGCAGTTTTGTTCCAGCTGCTGAGGGGTTTTCCATATTAGGGCAGTGCGCCTAAGCCGCAGCTAGCTCGCAAAAACACGTTTCTCTCGCCTCGCGGAGAGTGTCAGATTTACGCTGTCATGGCTGGCCTCGATCGTCAAAATTCGGTGGCCGACTTCTTCGGGGATATCGACGACGAATACTTGTGCCCGATTTGCCTGTCCATCGCCCAGGAACCGTTTCTGATTCCCTGCTGCGGGCAACACTTCTGCAAGCTGTGCGCCGAGCGCCTCAAGCGAGACGGGACCGCGTGCCCCATGTGTAAATCGGTCGACTTCTCGCCCGTGAAGGACAAGTTTTTCGAGCGGAAAGTGAACGAGTTGAAGGTGAAGTGTCCGGCTCGGGAAGACGGGTGCTCGTGGACGGGAGAATACGGACAATTACCGGCCCACGCCGTGACGTGCTCGCAGCAGATAACGGACTGCGAGTTCGCGTTCGCCGGGTGCACGGCGCGGATGGCACGCAAGCGACTAGAGAGACACGTCGAAGAAAACACCCAGCGGCACATTTCTCTACTAGCCGGCCGACTCATCCAGCGAGACGGGGAGATAAAGTCCTTGCAAGACCATATAAAAGGTTTGGAGAAGCGACTCTGCACGTTTATTCGTCCCGCCGACATGTTCCTGACGGATTTCGAGCAGCGTAAAGCCGCCGACGAACGCTGGCGCGGCCCGCCGTTTTACTCGCACCTTGCCGGCTACAAGATGTGCCTCGTCGTGGACGCAAACGGAACCGCAAACGGAAAAGGTACGCACGTTTCGGTGTTCGTTTACCTAATGTCGGGCGAGAACGACGACGAGTTGAAGTGGCCTATGCGGGCGGAGGTGTGCATCCAGATGTGTAACCAGCGAAACGAGAGCTACCATTGGCAAGAGACAGTTCATTTCAACGACCAGGCACCCCCGGAGTCGACCGAGAGAGTTGTGGGGCGAAACAAGGCCCCGAAAGGACGCGGACGAAACCAGTTTGCACTCCACTCGAAACTCGCTCTCGACGAGTCGACAAATTGTCAGTATCTCAAAGAAAACTGTCTCCGCTTCAGAATATCTGCGGTCAAGTTGCTCAACTACTAAACAAACCTGAGAGATATCGGTAAAGACAGGCGACGGTATTTGTGTCTTTATATTTCCGTGTGTTGCCACTTTCCATCAAACACACACTTCATTTGTGTTTTTTCGTTTTTGAATGAATGATTATGTGCATACAATCGGATCCTCACGACACTTGCGTGCAAGAAACGTGCTCTCTTTTCACTTGTTAACTCGGTTTGTTATCACTTTTTGTGCGTGGTCGCATTTTCGCGTGTTGTTAATTTCATCTGTTCGACATACCGTCGGCACCTTCAATTCATGCTAACACAATACATATGTAACTTAACAAAGTGTCACCGTATCAGCATGTGTGTATGTATTGCTGCTAATTGATTCGCACTGTTACTCAATATGTGCCGGAATTTGTACCCTAATATATCAATATATATTATTAATAGGTATTGTGTGTGTGTGTGCTTGTGCATGCATGCTTTGTGGCTAGCAAGTCGTGTTAGCTATACATCGGAACCATGTGGGGCTGAGCTGGCTAGAGTAATTAGTAGAGGAATATTGTAACGGAAGATGCTACACTATACACTAGCCAAAACCCACAGGATTTGCCGTATCCATCCCACGTAGTGTTTGTCGTTTTGCTGCAAGTGCCTTTTCCTTCCTTTTCTCTTCCCTATCCCCATCTTCTCATCCTATTCCATCCCTCCTACATCCATTACGAGCTGCCTACCCTCCATCCCTCTCTCCCCTGTCTCACCTCCCTCCCTCTCTCCCTCCTCCCTCTCTCCCCTCTCCTCCCTCCCTTCTCCTCTCTCTCTCTCTCAGAAATGACGGTAGCTGAGTATCGTGATCTCATAGTACGCGAAACAGCTGGAAAGGTAACCTATTTCGCGCAAAAAGTCAAACAACTGGCAAACTAAACAATAACAGATAAAGTTTTGGTACAAACAGAAAACCTGCAAGAGTTGATTAACCCACTGCTTGGAATGAAAATTTTACCGAATGGAGAAAATAAAGTCGTTCAAATGTAACACCTTTCCCCACAGCAATATCAGCAAGAGCTGATTCAATTGAGGGAGGAGTTTGAACGCTACAAAACGAGGGCGCAAACAGTTCTTCGAAGCAAGGAAAACAAGGTTTCAGTATACTTCCAGTATTCTCTCAGTAATCCTAGTAAACTACACTAGTAATCGCTGTAAACAAGTCTGTAATCTCTGAGCACTGAGTTAGTAAATCAAGTTGGTAATCTGTCAGTAATCTCTCTGTATATTTCCTCAGGATTCTATTACTCCACCTGTCCAGAGGAAGAATACTGAGAGTATACAGAGTAGATTACTAGATCTGCAGGAGCAAGTCCACAGTCTCCAGAACCAGAAAGAGGAGGAAGAGGGGAGACACTTGATGTCGACCCGCAAACTGCGGGAAGAAATCAGAGAAATCGCCGATAAACACAGGGCAGAGGTCGTTGCTATGGAGACGCAACACAAGGTTTGATATGACTGTCGGGTTTTGGGTTCTGTGACGATGCAACTGTTTATTGGCAAGCCTACTTGCCAGCCTTGTCATTTGACAACAGTTTAGTTGTCAACACTAGAGGGTAGACAGACTTGCTTGTCCAATGTTTGCTCATCATTGATGCAATGTGGCTGCATGGTATGCCACAGAAACGCCCTCCTTGTAGCTTAAACACCACCTCCTCATACCACTTCAGGCATAGTTTTTGCCTGTGGCAACAATAGTAGAGTATCTTAGTCTACCTACAGTACTTGTCATGAAAAGTTAAAGAACCTGACTGCAAGCACTGTTACTGTACTGTTTAGGTATAATTATACTGAGTTTTAGTACTGTTTTAGTACTGTAAGGTATGGTACTGCTGTACTGTAAGGTATGGTATACTGCTGTACTGTAAGGTATGGTACTGCTGTACTGTAAGGTATGGTACTGCTGTACTGTAAGGTATGGGTACTGCTGTACTGTAAGGTATGGTACTGCTGTACTGTAAGGTATGGTACTGCTGTACTGTAAGGTATGGTACTGCTGTACTGTAAGGTATGGTACTGCTGTACTGTAAGGTATGGTACTGCTGTACTGTAAGGTATGGTACTGCTGTACTGTAAGGTATGGTACTGCAACAAGACCGAAACAGCTGTCCAGAGCTCCGCATCTTTTTTCTCTTGGCATCACATGGTGTATTTTTCATGTACATGACCCATACTGTACATGGTGCTCATGAGATGTTGGGGTGTGTGCAAAACTGAACTGTAGGAGCCAGGAGTCTCACTTTTTGGTAGTAAATGTTATTTACATTTTATAGTACTCTCTCATTTTTCCCATCCCTCTCTCCCTGGCTGACCTTACAGGAGAAGCTGCAGAATCTACATCGTCACGTCCAATCGACACGAGACAGAACCGTAAAACTTCTCGCAGAGAAAGACGCCGAAATCGACCATCTCCGGGGGGAGCTCCAGGCCCTCAGATCCCAGTCCCATACCGGCGGTCTGGAACGGAGTCTGAGCCACGCCAGTACTGCTAGTGGTGGGAACACCCAGAACGGAATGGGGAATGGGGAATTGGAACCGGACTACCCCACGCCGTCCCTGTTCCAGACCACCACACCCAGGAGAAATATCAATCTCTCTACCAAGGTAGATTACTGACTTTTACTGACTTGCTACAGATTACTGAGTCTAGATTACTGAATAGTTTACGAAAAAGTTCACTAACAAGATAGCAAGTAATAGGACATCTTTTCTCAGTCTACAGAATCAATATCTGCTGTGCAAGAGATTTTAGAACAGGTAAAGTGTTCATGCATCTGTTTCCACTGCTTTTGAAATAGTAATTTGTGGCCGTCTTTCTTGGCCATTGACTACTATCGCTGACTAGTCTTACCTTTCACGTCTTATTCTATATTCTGGTATGACGGAGATTGAGAAGAAGGATAAGATGCGTCCAGGAGAGGAAGAAGATAGCGAAGCGACGCAGAAGTCGGAAGAAGAAGGAAGAACTCGAAGCAGGCAGCAGTAGAAGCAGGAGCAAGAAGAGAAGGTGAACAAGAGAAGAGAGCACGAATGCTACTCTCTCACGCCTCCGACTCCTCGTCGTCCTACTCATCCTTCTTCTCCTTATCTCTACTCTCCTCGCTGCATGTCATCACTAATCCTGACGTATCGATCTTCTCCTCCTCCTCCTCGTCCTCCTCCTCCTTCTTCTTCTCTCGTCTCTCTCCCTCCTCCCCCAGCCGTCGCCAGGGCCGACAAAGGAACCTCAACTGCTACATTTCATCCACGAACAGCAGCGAAGAGAAACGGAACTAGCGACGGCCAGAAGGAAAAAATTTGAACTTGAAGATTCCCTCAGAGATTTACAAGAAAGGTGAGCTACTACTAGTTGAGACGTCTTGAAATCTTGATTGTTTGGGGACAACTTTTGTGCTTTATATGTGATGATGTAACTGGTGTGCTTTATTTAGAACGTTTCGCATAAATAGTTTTATTTTCGTCTGCCTTTACTCTGCAACTGCTGGTCTGAAGAACTACACTTTATTAATTGGGACATCCTGAAATGATTAATTTATTTAGGACAAATTCAATTGGGACACCCTGGAATTGTGGTATTTTAATCGGAAAGTCCTGAAATGTTAATTCAGGACAGCTTTCTGCCCCCACATTAGGGAACAACGTCATTTGGAGCAAAACATTTTCCTGAAAGACCAGATAAGGAAACTGGAGAGAGACCGGTACGTCAATCCCGTTTGACCGGTTATGAGTCATCGTCCTGTTTCCATGGTTACGTGTTGTCATGTTTCCATGGTTACAGGTCACGTGAGACGGAGAGTATGGAGTATTTGAAGAACATCATTTTTCACTTCATGTGTTCCGACTCGTATGGGAGGGAGCAGATGGTGTTGCCCATAGCAACCATCCTTCACTTAAGCCCAGACGAGGTATATACATGTAATTATAGTACGTATGTTGAATACTGTAATTGCACTGCACACTCCAGCTATAGTCAAGGTATGGTTGGTTGGCCTGTCCTTCCCTCCACTTGCTTGCTAAAAGTACGAACAATTTAGGCCACCCTATTCTTTCACTGCACACTCCAGCTATAGTCAAGGTATTCAGGATCATTGGTTGGCCTGTCTTTCCCCCCACTTGCTTGCTAAAAGTACGAACGATTTAGGCCACCCTATTCTTTCACTGCACACTCCAGCTATAGTCGAGGTATTCAGGATGGTTGGTTGGCCTGTCCTTCCCTCCACTTGCTTGCTATAAGTACGAACAATTTAGGCCACCCTATTCTTTCACTGCACACTCCAGCTATAGTCAAGGTATGGTTGGTTGGCCTGTCCTTCCCCCCACTTGCTTGCTAAAAGTACAAACAATTTAGGCCACCCTATTCTTTCACTGCACACTCCAGCTATAGTCAAGCTATTCAGGATGGTTAGTTGACATGTTTTTCCTCCTCATAAGTCGGTCGGTCCTCATAAGCACATGCATTGTGCCAAAGGTGCCACTTTTATAATTAAAGTCGAATACACGTTTGAAAAATATCACACACACACTAAAAACCTAGCAATAATTTACAATTGATGTATGATAGAGGTGAAGGACATGGAGTTGTGTGTCATTGCTATGGAAACAGCGCATGTCGTTGCTATGGAAACAGCGATGTCGTGATTATAAACCTTCGAAATTCTGCATAGCAATGAGCAGCCCGGTCAACTGTAGAAGAGAGAGAGAGAGCTACTGAGGCAGCTCAGCTGGCTGGGCCGAATCACTCATACAGAGCAAGGCAGAGCACTCTGTGTTCTAGAGAGGGCTCCACTAGCTGAGCTACTGAGGCAGCTCAGCTGGCTGGGCCGAATCACTCATACAGAGCAAGGCAGAGCACTCTGTGTTCTAGAGAGGGCTCCACTAGCTGAGCTACTGAGGCAGCTCAGCTGGCTGGGCTGAATCACTCATACAGAGCAAGGCATAGCACTCTGTGTTCTAGAGAGGGCTCCACCAGCTGAGCTACTGAGGCAGCTCAGCTGGCTGGGCCGAATCACTCATACAGAGCAAGGCAGAGCACTCTGTGTTCTAGAGAGGGCTCCACTAGCTGAGCTACTGAGGCAGCTCAGCTGGCTGGGCTGAATCACTCATACAGAGCAAGGCAGAGCAATACTTACTTCCGAAGTGGCAAACCCTATTCCAATTGCACCTACGACGTACAAATCTTGCTGTATCTCTCTGGCAAGAAACACGAAACAAGGCTGTGTGAAAAAAGAGCAAAAATCGTGTGATTGCGGCATTTTAGTGATGTTGGGTCAGCGTGTTCTCATACCTGTTCGAATACCATCATGGCGGTATCTGAGAGGGTTCGATTACACTCCGGCTTGTCAAGCTAAGAGAGGGGGGAGGAGAGAGAATGGAGGGATGACGTAAATAGTTGTAAATGTTGTGGAAAGATGTTATTGGAGACTTACTTCGTTTCTGAGATCGGTGAGTGAGCTGTTAGATATACCACTGACCCTGTCACGACTTGTGAAGTACTGTAAAATTAAGAGAGAGGAAGACGAGCATCTCGGCTGGCTGGGCCGAATCACTCATACAGAGCAAGGCAGAGCACTCTGTGTTCTAGAGAGGGCTCTACCAACTGAGCTACTGAGGCAGCTCAGCTGGCTGGGCTGAATCACTCATACAGAGCAAGGCAGAGCACTCTGTGTTCTAGAGAGGGCTCCACCAACTGAGGCAGCTCAGCTGGCTGGGCTGAATCACTCATACTTACCGCTCCTGGTCTCGCTAGGAAACCATAAATCGCAGCTGCAAACGTCAGAAACATCAGGACAATCACCCCAGCAACGAACTGGGTATATAAAACAGAAAGGGAAGAAGGAGAAAAAAGAAAGTAGAGAGAGAAATGGGAAGGAAGATGAAAAACATGAGTATGATAATTAGGACAAAGTTCGTCCAGCTATATCTACAATACTGTTGGTTGAAGCCCATACTACATACAAAACCCCAGAAAGAATCCTTACGAGCATGATAGTAAGGTCAGTGTTGAGTATATACACCCCTACAGGAAAGGAAGGTGGTCAGGATATTCTATCAGGAAACTGGCTCAGGATGCTTGGGTCACTATACATGCCACATACATACTACTATATATTGTGGAGCTTTGGGTTGTATATAGTCATTTCAGGGTCCATTGGTTGGTTTCCTGGCTCCAAGGACATACACACTATAGAGAAGCTGAGCCCAGCAGAGATTATGGACACGGAAAATTCATCTCTTCTCTGCTTCTTTCTATCGGTCCCTCTCTGCCCTTCTTCTGTTTCTCGTTTTCGAGCTCAGCCTAACAGAGGTCTCATCTCCTCTGATTCTCTATCTTTCTCTCCCTCCTCTCTCTCTCTCTCTCTCTCATTCTTTCATGTACCACTTGAGAAAGGGAGACACAAAACAAACCGGCTAACAGCCCTCTTTTATTTCTCCTGCTCCTTCTACCACTTGAGAAAATGACACAAAACTAACAGCCCTCTTCTCCTGCTCCTACCACTTGAGAAAATGACAGGAACACCCACACAAAAACAAACAAACTAACAAACAAGCAAAAAAACTCACAATCATCATTAGAGGCTTTTTCTGCCAGAACATGACCAGAATCCCGAGTAAACCGAACACGAACTTGAAGATCCCGGCGAAGATGAAAATAGCCGCTCCCGCTACGTACGTGTTGCCCGTAAAGTCGCCGAAACGCTGGAGGTTTACGATCGAGTATATGCCCACCGCAAACATGACAACTCCGAACGCCTGAGTGAAAAAAGAGACAGAGAGAAGAGAGAGAGAAAGTGTTTTACGGCGTAGATAGCTACGTGCACAATGCGCTGGCTAATAAAGCGCGAACCGCTCGCAGAGGCAAACTCACCATGTACATTAGCTGTGAGAGGAAGAAGATGATTCGCACTTTGTTCGAAAGCTGCACCGCCATGGCCGGTTTTCTAGCTCGATCTCTTGTCGATCCTTCGCTGGTCTCCCGTTGCTTTTTGGTGGCCCTTGTGTATCCGGCCACGCCTACGTCCGGGTCCTTGTTTATGTTGCCACGCCCACTTCCGGTTAATACACCTCCGCGCGCATGCGTATAGCAAGTTTTTCGCGTTTTCAGTCGTTTTTTGTCTTTTTTCAGGTGAAGATAATAAAGGAGAAAGCAGCTGCCCGGAGATGGATACCTAGAAATTCATGATGATTGTTATTTCACTTTTTCAATTTGATTTTCAACTGTACAATTTCTCTCATTTTTACATCTTTCAAAAGATAGTAATGATAACTATATTATTATGCCAACTGGACATTCTTTCCATAACACAATAATTATACTGTATAAGAATCGATACGGCTGCAGTTCGGAGCATGAGGAGGTGGAATGGAACGGAGATCCCGAGGGTTCACTGTGGACAACTTACAGTCCGGCGGTCTCATTCCTATTCCAGTAGAATTGGACTGGGACTTGGGAACCACTTCCAAATAGTGCCCACCACAGTCCCCAAACCTCGTCTTAAAAAGTGGCTCTTTATCTTCTCCATCTCTTCTCCCCTCTTCTCTTTCATTTTCCAAAACAATGTGTGCCACTTTTGACACGATCTGCGAATGTTTATCCGTCTCCATGGCAATGGCATTGTAGCTACTCCCAGTCCTAAACCCCACCCCCTCCATATCCTCGTTAGCAGTTAGCGCCACGGCAACGTTGTTTGAAGTCATGACCTCTGAACCTTTGGGCTGGTCTGGAGGAAAAGATAGATCGAAACATTTCGAGCTATCATTCATAGATTTCTTTGTGTGGCATTCGACGCTGATGCTGACCGGATGAGAACCTGAGGGAGCAGAGAAAAAACACGCCTTCATACATCGAAACCTCTTTTGACACACTGAATGTCGATAAACTATATAATTATTGATTTGTGTATATTTTTTCACAGTAAAAATCTCTTATAGGACACTGAATTTCAATAAACTATTGATTAGTGAACCATTGCGTAAGGCCTGTTGATATTTCCATGCTTGTGCGTGATTAACAAAGGATGCTAATTATTATGGTACCGTTAGGTGAGGTGGGGCTGGGGTTGTTGCTAGGCGACCCAATCGACAACAATCCGTCTTTCCCCAGTCGAAGATTCATACTCTGACCTGGAATGGAATCAGGACACACTAGGACATCCTAAACTCTCGACGCTCACCTTTTAACCAGTATCCTTGACTGGAAGGATGCGTGTAGTAGGTCTTCATCTGTGATCGAGTAATCATGCCCCCCGGGCGATGGTAAAAACTGCAGATGGGGGTCCGCGAAGTATTAATTCTCGTGGCCCCCCGAGAACTAATTTTCTCGGGGGACCCCCTCAATTTTCTCCGGGGTGACGGCTCCGAGCTATCAGAAGCGTCGCTACCGTGATCACTCGAAGACGACGACGTATCCATAGCAACTTGCCCGTTCAGCAAACTCTTCTGTGCCAACTTTGAGAAAAAAATTTCGAGCAATTTCTTCGACCTCTGTCGCTGACCCCCTTCTTCGGGTGAAATCTTTCGCAGCAGGGGGTCAAAGGTCGTCGGAGTACTGCCCACCGAAGATGTCTGGCTCCGTGTACGAATTCGCGTACCGATGGACAACGGTGGGCATGAATTAGAATAAAGTCTCTCTCCCTCGCCGTACAAAAGGTCTGAAGACACTTTTGGAGTTCTATTTGTGTCCTCGGGGGTCGAACGGCTGGGGTTCGTTGTGTGACGAGGGGGCGATGATTTGGGGGGCAGTCTGAATTTCTGGAGGGCGAGTGGGGTAACAATGAGGGTTGCGGGGGTTGAAATTCTGGGAGGGGAACAGGAATTTGTCGTAGTTTGAGGGGGCGTCTCAGAGCGGGCGGAGAGTGGGAGGGAAGGAGGGGGCGTGGCTGTCAGGACAACTGCCGATTCTTTTCTTCTCTTAGCAGTCGGCATAACTCTGGTTTCTGAAGGGTTAAACATTTTCATTTCAAAAAAGTATGAATTTTTACCCATTTTGAACAACAGTAGTACGGAAGTACCTGCGGCTCCAGACTTTGTCTGCAACTGTCTCTTCAACCTCTTCTCAGTCTCTCTCAAACTGTACTTCCTTCCCTCTCGCCGGTTTCCTCCCTCCCTCCCTCCCTCACCTCACCCAGACCACACCCACTCTTCCCACCGTCTCCACCGCCGTGACCGTTCTGAACCAAACCCTCTGTCGTTGCCATGGCAACACACTCATTGCCGTGGGAGCGACGATTCACGCTGAATGCACCCAAGCCCCTCCTAATAGAAAACAACATGTACAATTACAGTATAATTATATTATAGTCTAAGGACACTCCTGAAATAAGGACACCTCTCTAATAAGGACACCTTTTCTTTCCCCAAGAACAGTTCTTGCATGCATTTCAACCCCAGAAATAAGGACACCTCACTAATATGGACACTTTCTTCTGTCCCATTGGTGTCTGGATTAGCCCAGTTCCACTGTAGTTGTCACAGCAGCAACATAACAGAACAGTTCTTTCAAATAAGGACACCTCACTAATATGGACACTTTCTTCCGTCCCATTTGTGTCGGGATTAGAGGAGTTCCACACAAGAAAAAAGCGTGGAGTAAATAATAATGTTTTTCTGACCTCTCGCATGTTTCACATTCACAATTGATGTTATTGTCGCCGAAAAAGTGGTTGCCGTAGTAACAAGTGACCTCATCTCCGGCCTCCATGTCCCGGAGGACCTTGACACACGCCATGTTCTTACCAGTCGGCACAAACTGAGAGAGAAACAGAGAGAGAGAGAGAAAATACGACACTGATCAACATTCAGACATGATGTCATCATCGTAGAAAATAAACAAAGAACTTTATTACCTTGCATGTTGGCTTGCAGTCTGGAAAAAGAAAGAGAAAGACAGAAATAAGAAGTGTAAAAATTATAATTGCTTCTTCTGACCCCTCTCTACTGTAAAAAAATGTCTTTGCTCATCTTTCCCTCCCTTCCCTCCCTTCCAACTCTTCTCTCCTCTCCTCTCTTTTCTAAAAGTTATTTTTCTAGCAGTATCTTCTCTTTCCTGTTCTCCCACCTCTCTCTCTCTCTCTCTCCTCTCTCCTCTCTCCCTCCTCTCTCCTCTCTCTCCTCCCTTCTTCTCCCCCCCACGTACCATGATTGATGTAAGCGGCAGCCCCCAACCACAGCTGCGAGCATCCTTTCCTTGTGGAGTACATCACGCTGAAATCGTTTTGACCCGCTACCAAGAAATTCTTCTCCTCTTCCGAAGTCAGTTCCGCAATGCATCCGAACAGCTTCTGAATTCTCTCTCCCTGCGTCCTGAAAAGATTAGGACGTCCTGAAAACCCTGTCCCGAACGGGGAGAGAGGGGGGGTGTGGCTTACCATCGTTTAGTGACGACGACCTTTGCACCGCAAGTTTCGCTGGAGTATCGACGACAGGGGATGATCTTCACCCCGGAATCATCGTCGTAGATATGGAGATAGTGCATGAACTAGAGATTGGAGGGGAAATGGAGAAAACGGTCAAAGAGATTAAGAGGAAAGAGAAGAGGACAGGGGGGAGGGAGAGAGTGAAAACGTAAGAAACAAATGGAGAGAGAATCGATGCATCATAATGTGAGCTACGCTGCTGTGTGTATAATGGCAACAATACAGATGATGTAATGACACCTTACCTGCTGCAAGCTGTTACACGCCCCTACAACAGAACAGTATTTCATTCCTTATTAGGACGTCTGTCTACACGTGCAGTGTGTACACGCACACAAACATGCACATCCGCATTTCGAAACTCTGTCCTGAACTAAGATGTGTCCTGATAGTCGTTAGGACACCTTCCGAAGCGCCAAAACACTCCACTTTACAGTTCGGTGAAAAAATCGTGTCCTACAGGACACCCAATTAATTAGGACACACTAGTTTGTGTCCTGTTAGGGGCGGGATTGGGGAACCAGATAAACAAGAAAAACAGGTTTCAAACTGGTTTCTCACGTGTTTCTTGAAGGCAGCTATGCTCTGTCTTGGTTTCCCCATGAGGAATGTCCGGGCCCAATTCCCGCTGACCAGACTCTCATACGCCCGTTCCGCATTCCCATCCCTGGAATACGTCTCCAGGACTCCGCGGAGCTTCCCGAACCGGCCCTTCACGTGACGAAATCGTGGGTTCATCTTGTGGGTGGTGAAGCCGACGCCCGGATCGACACAGAGACTTGTGGCAATGTCGTCGTATTGCGCAAGTTCCCTCGCTAGTAAATCTTGGCCCTGCGACATTACGTAATCCTTCTTCGCCAATTCCTCCCCTTTGGGGCAGTGGTGGGTTCGATAAGAACGAAAAACAGGCCGGCGGGACGGGGAAAGTAGGGTGAAAGGTTCGCTCGAATTTTACACTTTCTTGGGGTTCGGAAGACGTCGAAGGTCATGTGGTAGACAGATCTGGGGGGGAAGAGGGGAACCCTGTATAAATTTCCCCAAATTTACCCCGCGGGGGGCTGGTTGAGGGGGAGAGTCGACGGGTGCTATACAAGTGTATACATAAGAGGCCGGAAAACGGCGGGTTATTCTCACTTATCCCGGGGAATTTGGCGGGATTTGGCGGATGATGCCGGCCGTACGGTCCCTCTAGCAGCCGTCTGTGAAATATTTCGCCGTGTGTCCCTCTGCAAGTGCGGAAACAGAGGTAAAACTCTCAACCCCTTTCTTCTCTCGAGGCCGTCTGTGTGTGTGTATACACGGACCCTCCCCTCAGACGTAATCCAAAAGTCGATTGAGAGTCATGTGATATCACGTGTTTGTGCACGTGATAAAAGTGACGTCACTTGCACCAGCTGACCTCTCGCCCCGTTGCGCGTGGCTTGGTTTTCAGCAGCGTTGTTCGTCGTATATACACTTCGTGTCGTCCTCTGCATTGCTAGAGGTGAGTTTTCTTTTTTGCGCGCCGTGAGTTCGTGTACGTCCGTTAGGAGTGCGCGAGGGGGGTCGTTGATACGGTCAGCGGCGCGCGCGTAGAAGCGGCGAGCGAGAAAATATTGCAGCGGCAGCATCAGAAAGTTCTTGCATGTGGACGACAGTTTCGGGTGGTTGTGTCATGACTCTGCGTAATGGCACCACGAGGTTTACATGTGTGTATATACGAGTCTACTATCCGTTTTTCCAGTTCGCGAATTTTTCGTGGTTTATCTCCAAATAATGCCCCCCAAGATGCCGTCCAAGAAGAAGAGTGGTACTCGCGAGAACTCACCCACCCCGACCTCTACGACCCCTCCAGGGTAAGTCATTACGTCATCAGATTTACCTGACAATGTATGATGTAATGATGACATAATCATGAACACAGGATCGGTGGTGTGGGTTGGGACTTGGCAGACCCAGTGGCGACAGCCAATGGCATCGTTGACAAGAAGGCCCGTAACCTGGAAAAAAGAAAGGTATCTAAAACATTTTCCTCTCTTCATTTTCTCCCCTCTTATCCTCTTCCTTGCTTTTGTTCTTTACTCTTTTCAGCTATTTTATAGAACAACCTGAGGGTTTTGTAAATCCCTTCACTTCTTTCAGCCTCTCACATTTTTTCCTTCTTTCTCTCTTCTCTCTTTTCTTCAGAACAAGCTTATAGCAATAGGTTCTTCTCTCTCTCTCTCTCTCTCTCTCTCTCCTTCCCTCAGAACAAGCTTATAACGCTGAAGCAGAGCATAGAGACGGGAGCCAAACTGACCCCGGACCAAGAAGATGCCGTCAGTAAACTCGGAGAGGTCAACATTCAACTGGAGATGGTGAAAGACCTTCAGAAACAGTTTGCTGCTGTCACCACCGAGGTATGCGAAAAAGTGTCTCGATTCGTTTCGGTTTCAAAATATAATGTTTTCGTGCGTGTTTTTTTTAACTTTCCGAGTATCCCATTCAAATTTTGCTGAATGCAAGACTCTGTGGTCCCAGGAGGTTTATCATTGCGAATTTGTTAATTACACCGTGATCAAATTTTTCTATTCTTCTCTTTCTTCCCCTAAAGTACCAAAAACTTCGAAAAAGGCAGCAAAAATTGGAGAAACAGCAGCAAAAAGACGCGGAGAAGGACAACATGAGAAAAGTAGGGGTAAAAATTTTATTCGAGCTTGCAAAATTTTTCGATATTGCCGTGTGTTCAAAATTTGTAGGTTCTGGGATACTCTTTTGGAGTGTATCACCTGTTGGATTCCATTGATGAGGTGGCGAAGGAGCACTTTGCGGCCGGTAGCAACGGAGCAGTGGTATGTATGTGTAACTAATAGCAACGGAGCCGTGGTATGTATGTGTAACTAATAGCAACAGAGCAGTGGTATGTATGTATGTGTAAATAATATGTACATTTTCCCACTACATGACAGTAAAGGTTGGAGTTTCAGGTATGCGATCTGTAGGTGGAATTTTTTATACTTCTCCCTGTTCATAGAAGGTACAGTTGAAGACTCTAAGAATTAGAGAGAGCCTCTACAAATTACTTCCAATTTTTATCCGAAATGCTACAAATTACTTCCCTTGAGTGGCATAATTTAGAGATTCAACAGTCAATTTTACAAACTCTCACACTTGCCTAGCTCTCTCCCTCCCTCTCTCTCCGTTGCTGCAGCAACTGACTGACTCCGAGCTGGGAAATCTAGACTCCCTCTACCGACTCCTGGCGCCCAGCCGGGCGGGAAACCCCTCATACCGGTCTGACCTGCTGCTGGCCAGCGACCACTTTCTCCTCCTCTTTGAGCAGTCTGCCAAGGCAGTCATTGGCACCAACTGTATCCACTTCTTAACATTCCCTTTTCTACCACTTACTCTTGATATTTCGTTAACTTTAACCCCTTACCCACCAGACAAGGAACTGTACGAACTCCTACAGAAGGTCGAAGCGTGTGAATATTTCGACAAACCTCACGACGATGAAGAAGAAGATGAAGAAGATGATGAAGAGGAGGAGGAGGAGGAGGAGGAGGAGGAGGTGGTGGAAAGAGAACCTGAGGTGTGTCCTAAAACTTCAGGACAGGCTTATCTTGTCCTGATAAATATCTGTCCTGTAATTTTTGAGGTGTTCTAAATATTATAGTTACGCTGTCTTGTTAACTGCAGTAGTTGTCTCCTAAACCTGACCACTGTTAAATTTAAGGTGTCACGTGATGATCATGTGACGGCTCAGCCAGTTGCCGAGGTAACGCCGGTGGATCATGTGACCTACGACGGTGGTTACCAAGGGAACCAGCCCAGAGGGGGAGAGAGAGACTTAGCCAGTGGAGGGAGTGGCTATATTGCGCAGCCGTCGCTCCCGGCAACCCAGGAGCCTTTAGCCCCGCCCTCTCCAGTGACACAACCTCCGTTAATGGAGTAAGAGCCAATTTCTGATACTTTGAATTCTGTAGACCTATTGTGTTAATAAGATAATATCAGTACGTAAAGGCTAAATTTACTAAAAATAGCGCTGAACTAAAGGGCCCAGTGAAAGAATGCAATTAATTTCCATTTTTAGTAACAGTATCTAAATTTAGCACTTATGTACTGCCACACCCCCTTTTATATATGCCGTGCAGCTTGTATAGTTTCATAGTATGAATGAATCTTTTGTCTCACGTAACTTTGTTGGACTGAGTATATCGGCCTTTTTGCGCATACATTGTCACCCCTTCATTCTCTCTGTCTTTTTTTAAAATCTTTTCCCGTTATTTTCCTCCCTCTCTCTCCCATTTCCTCTCCGTTCTCCTCAGGTACATGCCAGCCTCGGTCCCGTCTCCCACATTCCCCGGACTGGAGGGAGGTGGACAGCAGGCGACTGGTACCGATGATGGGTTCTCGTTCATGCACGATTCTGAGGTCACCAGACCAGGTCAGAAACCAGTTTTATACAAGTTTTTCGCGACGAGTCTCAGTGCCAATATTAAGTAAGCAATTTGTTTGTTTTTTGTCTTGCAGTGCCCACGGCAACCGTCCAGCCAACACACGTTTCGTCTCTCCCTCCCTCCCTCCCTCCGTCTCAGAGTATTAATTCTGCACATCTTCACCAGCCACAGCCACAGTACAGTTACAACCGTCCTCCCCAATCAAACACAAGTCCCGACATCAAGGGGGTTAAAGTTATTGACGGTGAGTAATTACTTGTACCAAAAGGGTTAAACTGACAGTAAGCAAGTCTTTGTACCGTATGGGTTAATGTGACAGTGAGCAAATACTTGTGCCGTGGGGGTTAAACTGATATTAAGCAAGTGCTTGTACTTTAGGGGTTAAATTTTTTGATGGTAAGCAAGTGTTTGTACTGTGGGGGTTAAATTTATGACAATGATGTATTAGTATGTCTTTTTCCTTCAGCTGGCTCAGGAAGTTACCAGTTACCTAATACTGATGCCACCACTGGCCAGCCGAGCCCGTCTCCATTCCAAACCAAGCAGACTGGAATGGGATCAGGACTGACAGAACAGCACACTGGCTCTCGGGTATACATACATGTTGTATATATACTTGCACTGGAACCTCTCAATACAAGTTTTCTAAGTTCCTACAATTTGTTCTTTGCAGGATTTTGTGCCTTCTGTCTCGGGGGTTAGAGGTGGGAGCGAGTTACCGTTGTCACGGGAACCGGCACCTCGCGATGATGGATTTCAGCAGCAGAGGAGTGTGAGTGACGATAATCAGGACAACCATGGGAGAGATTCCAGGACAACTTTATAGAGTGTCCCGATCCATGCTTGAAGTGTGCAGTGAAAGAATAGGGTGCCCTAAACTTTTCGTACTTTTAGCAAGCAAGTGGGGGGAAGGACAGGCCAACTAACTATCCTGAATACCTTGACTATAGCTGGAGTGTGCAGTGAAAGAATAGGGTGGCCTAAATTGTTCTTACTTTTAGCAAGCAAGTGGAGGGAAGGACAGGCCAACCAACCATCCTGAATACTTGACTATAGCTGGAGTATGCAGTGAAAGAATAGGGTGGCCTAAATTGTTCGTACTTTTAGCAAGCAAGTGGAGGGAAGGACAGGCCAACCAACCATCCTGAATACCTTGACTATAGCTGGAGTGTGCAGTGAAAGAATAGGGTGGCCTAAATTGTTCGTACTTTTAGCAAGCAAGTGGGGGGAAGGACAGGCCAACCAACCATCCTGAATACCTTGACTATAGCTGGAGTGTGCAGTGAAAGAATAGGGTGGCCTAAATTGTTCGTACTTTTAGCAAGCAAGTGGGGGGAAGGACAGGCCAACCAACCATCCTGAATACCTCGACTATAGCTGGAGTGTGCAGTGAAAGAATAGGGTGGCCTAAATTGTTCGTACTTTTAGCAAGCAAGTGGGGGGAAGGACAGGCCAACCAACCATCCTGAATACCTTGACTATAGCTGGAGTGTGCAGTGAAAGAGTAGGGTGGCCTAAATTGTTCGTACTTTTAGCAAGCAAGTGGAGGGAAGGACAGGCCAACCAACCATCCTGAATACCTTGACTATAGCTGGAGTGTGCAGTGGAGTAATCCTCAGGACGTCAGGAGTGACTGTTTGTAACGTAGTATTGAAGAAATGTGTATTTTCTTTCTCTAGTATGGAAACCGTGGCAACTCGAGAGGGAGAGGAGGTGGGGGGTGGAGGGGAGGAGGGAGAGGAGGGGGGCAGAGATTCGGAAGAGGAGGAGGGGGCGGAGGAAACGGTCGTAGCTATGGCAACCAGCAGGGAGGGGGCGGGGGCTATGGGCAGTCGACGCGTGGCAGAGGGTACGGAGAAAGAAGAGGTGAAAAAATGGACATAGACTGTAAGAAAACTACAGAGAGCCCATACTCAAATTTTGCAAAACATACGGAAGTAAAAAACTCCCAAATTTTTTTCGATAGGTTTTTTACCACTTGTCCTCTCCAACAACCCTATATTATAATTATGTATCTCTCGACTTCGATTTTTTCAGGGCGGCCTAACTACCAAGTGGCTGCAGGACAACAGAAATAGTCAGTCTCGGTCGGCTCTCAGTGGAACTGTAGTCGTGGCAACCGTTGTCAACAGTAACGATACTGCATTGTGTGGATTGAAAAACACAGACACACTCACAATCCAATGTTATGGTTATTGATTATTATAATATACAAAGCGAACGCGAACCAATGGAAAGAAGGTGGTGTGAAAGGATGTAGTATATACTATGCATGCGCATTTGAACATAAAGCTGTGCATGAGTCTTGAGCATCACCGCATGTGTTCTTTCCGGCCCTACGTAGATGGCCAGAAGTACTTGTGAACTGGGAGCCTTGTGAAGACTTGGTCTCTCGTGCTGCTTCTGCCGTCTGCAGCAAGGACCTCAGAATAGGCGCTTTGAACCGCATTTTTTCCACAATCCTCCTGGATAGTGCTGCATGCTTTGCTGATCACTAGCCCATATTATGTGCACTCTATGCCAATTGCCACTCACTACACTGAGTGTAAAGTGAATTGAGGTCCTTGTATGGATACATCACCATAGCAACTAATCATGTGATCAGTCACATGCAACTGAAATGAAAGTCCTCGTGAACGGTGGTCCATGGTATATATACAACTGCGCATGCGCAGTGCATTGCGCCCTAAGACATTGTTTTAGAGACAGAAGTACTTGTGAGCCGGGAGATGTGGCGGCACTTGTGGGATGTAAAGTCTCGTAAACGATTCCTTTTCCGTGGCCTGAAATTGTCGGACGATTTGAAGCGCGTCCGGATTGCATATGTCTCCGCCGGGAACTCTGGCGTTGACAACGGTGGTATTGTTGCAGCAGGCTGCGGGTCCTTCACGTGATGCGACGCTTTCGAAGACGGCGCGAAAGAGTCTTCTTGCGACGTGCGAATCGTCGGCAAACAGCGGACCAATCCTCCATCCGTCCTTTGCCAGAAACGCCGAGCGAACGACAGCGTAGCCGACGATTTTTCCATCATTGACTGCGGCGTGCGCGTAGGAGTTGGGCGCCGAAATCCACTCTTTTAGGAAGACGGAACGCGACCATCCGAACGCTGTTGTGTCGTAATTGTTTAGCGCCCGGAACGGCACCTCCGTCGCCGGCCGTACGTCTATAGTACCTGAGCGGTTCTCCAGGCGCCCTAACGCTTCAAGGCCTTTCTCTGCTTCAACACTGAAGCATTGGTTGATCCACGCGAAAATGGCGTCTAATCCGACGAATTTCGCCACCAAATCATCCGCGATCTCTTCTCCGCCTATAATGCAGCCGTCAGGCAGTGACTCCACGGCTGTTCGCATCATCTTCTTTCCGTATCCCTTGTTGCGGTGTTCAGCATCCACGACAAAGTTCCAAATAAAGCCGTATTTGTTCGTAAAGTTCACGGCGGAGACGCAGGCGACCACTTCTCCGTTCACTTCTCCGACGAAGAAACCGCAGTCTGCCGCGAAGTAGCTCACATGATCCAGCGCGCCCGGTATCCATCCTTCTGCAGCCGCCCTTGCGAAGACATGGTCTCGCGCTTCTTCCGCCGTCCGCAGTCGACGGATTGCGAGTTCATCTTCCGCTGTTGAAGAAACGGTAGCCCGCGTCGACGTCATTGATAGCGAGAGGAGGGGTGCGGGAAAACCGCGGGGAAAACCGCGGCAACATCTATACTGCGTCTCAACAGTGTGGGGAGGTAGCTCGGCCTTCAAAACTCGCCTCTCTACGGCGTAGTATACTTGGCCCTGTTGTTAGCGAGAGCTAACCATATTATTGAGCGTGCCAAGCATGAAAATTATCACTAAGTACGCTAGTATAGGGATTGGCATGGTACTTAGCATCGTAGATGTATAGTAGCTCATAGCATACATACCAGCCATATAGGTATATTTACCATCGGCGCGCATGCGCAGCGAGGGTTACAGTACTTGGTGGTCTGTGTGTCGACGCTTACTCTGGCAGTACACCAATGCGCGCGTTTGCACTTCACTTTATAATAGCATCACCAATAATTATTGTGTCATCATCAGTCACAGTATGCTTGAACACAACTCTCTTCCAACTCAGAGCCAAGTCGCTAGTGCGAGGGAAAGGCAACAACATTATGGAGAAGGTTTTGCACAATTATTGTGGTCAAAAGCCTATTCTGAGGTCTTTGTATGGAGGGGAAGGAGGTGGAGATACATCGCCATAACAACTAGTCATGTGATCAGTCACATGACTCTTTGGCTTTGATCTTCTATATCGTTTCGCTGGATGTTTACTCACAGAGTTACGACCGGTACTCTGCAGAACAAGTAAATCCTGTTTTCCTCTGTCCGTTACCAGTTTAACCCCTTGGTTTCCCACTTTAACCCCGTCAGAACCTCCTAAACTCTTAGCCGTAGGATCTACAATGTCGTGATGTCTCTGCTTATTGTCTGAGTACATGGAAGTCCAGTTAGTGAGTGACCTTGCCCCAGCCGAGATGGTTGTATTGGCTGATAGGGAACCCTTTCTGCACCAGTTTTTGAAAGAACGAAATCCACACAATCAGTTTCTTTTTCGTGACATAGTGGTGGTGGAAGATTGTACAATCTCTCTTGAAACAAGTAGTGTTGTGGTGTTGTAGTTGGTTTGGCGGTTTTTCCTGTCGGTTTTTCGTGTCTTTGAAGAAAGAGGGAGCTGTCGATTAGCGGAAGTTTTCCGTCTCTTTGACTGACATGTGTGACTCTATAGGGAAAGGTTGGATGATAGAGAGTTAATTTAAAAAGTAAATGCACTTGATAGATAGATTCCCAGTTGCAGATGACACTCATTATTATGATAGCATCTTAAGTAATGAAGTAAGGGCACAGAGATCAAAGTCAAGGGGATGACAACATTCACTTGTTACGCGGAACCTTTGTTTTTTATATAGCCAACAGCTATGCATCATACTATGTAATACACTGAACGCTGTAGGCGTTTGCACTTACCTATATCTGTCTCGTGAGGACCGTGGCTGCAAATGGCCGACTGACAGTCTATCGCTCACGCGATGCAGCGGAAGGTCCGACGCCGCCCTCCACAGCGAATATTTGGCCCCGGGGGACAAACTGGAAGACCCCACGCTCCCTCTTCCCGCGCTCCTCAGCCGTTCTTCAAGCTCAGGAGGAGTCATAACAACAACACAACCCAGGGAGCCCCACCCCCTTTTCTCGGACGACGCGCCCGCGACGCGGTCAAGAGCGCGTGCGCTTGTTACGCGCACGCGTGTAATCCTAGCGCACCCGTGTGCTACTGAACTCTCCGCACAACCGACAAAGGCATGGGATTAGAGGATGAGGGAATGATGCTACAGGTCCCAGACATAAAGGTGCGTGTCCTAAAATTGTATTAGCCGCTCAGGACACCAAAGACTGTCCGGATTTGGTGTCCGGAATTGTTTTTTGTTTCTACTCCAGGTTCACGTGAGCCAAGTGAAGATTTCTGGGCTTGTCCGGACCAAGAACGACATCGTTGTTGAGCAAGTGGGTATGACGTCATAGCAATGAATTATGACATCATCTTTTATATTCTGCCGGGATAGATAAAAGATGTCCTAAAGGCGAATAGACTTCAGGACGTCCTGTTAGAGAGTGTCGTTTCCATGGAAAAGTTAAACAGTCTAAATGTGTTCAAGTCGATCAATATCAGGTGTGCTGCGTTTGTTACCACGGCAACTGATACCGCATTGATCGCCTTACGTCTTTCCAGATTAGATGCTACTAATGGTGAGGAAGAGGAGGGGGGAGGGGACAGTGAGAAAGGGGTTATCGTGACGTTTCAAGTGAGGGAGAAGAAAAGGGTTAAGAGCTCGCTGGGCGCTAATGTCGGGACCCAATCAGGAGACATGGTAAGCAATACATGGGCTCTTAGTTAATGAAGTTAGTCTGTCTGCAATAGATTCCAAAATCAGGACCTCTCTCTCTCTTTCTCTCTCTCTCTGTGTGTGTGTGTGTATGTGTGGCTAGAGCCTGTCTCTCAATGCCGGGAACGTGTTTGGTCGGGCGGAGGAGGTGAGCCTGGTTTCCATGACGACATTCCCTCACTGGGGTCAGAGTTCGCAACTCCAGTTCACTAAACCGTACTACAAGAACCTGAACAACACGTACGTGCAACCAGTTTTACCAGAAACTAAAATAATATCTCTCCCCATCTTTTCCTGCACCCAGGCTACATCTCTCTCTAGCTACCACTCACACCAAGAGACCATTCAGTGGGTACCAGGAGCGCTCTACCGGCCCTGGCGTGGCGGTCCGATTCCCGTCCCGTCTCGGAACCCACACCCTGGCGTGGAACGGGGACTGGAGAAATATTCACGGGTTCAATCACGACATTCCGATGAGTCTTCGTTCACACGCCGGCCACTCCCTCAAGTCGTCGCTGAGGCACTCGTTGGAGATCGACGAGAGGGACAGCCCCTTTCTGCCGTCGTCCGGGTTCCACGTCAAGGTGACGCAGGAACTGGCCGGGATCGGGGGTGACGTGTTCTTTGGAAAATCCGAAGTCCAGGGAACTTACTACCAGCCCTTGCCAGCAGGATGGGTGAGCAGTAATGATGGAGAGCGTAAAATTTCACGTTTTTTTTGTGGATTAGCATTTTAATGAAGAAAAAAGCTTTCCCTATCATAGCCCCATACATCTTACATCTATGTATGAAGAAGATGAACAAAACTCCCTATCATATATAGCCCCATACATCTGTGTGAGATGCTAGCTAGGTACCACGCCCATCCCTATTACTAATAGTTTATACTACCGTACTTGGTGATTATGTATTACCGGAACCTCCGATAATGAACTCCCCCCCCCAACAGTGAAAACCTCTCTATAATGAACATATTCCTATGTACCAACTGACTTTATTCCACACACCTCTTCCCCCCTCCCTCCCTCCCTCATGTTTCGTATTCTTCAGGTATTTGCACTATCGTTGTGGGGCGGGATTCTTCGTCCCTATAGCAACAATCACCTTCCCGACAGATTCCTCCTCGGGGGCGGGACCACCCTCAGGGGTTTCGGAATGTGGGGGGTGGGGCCTCGGGAACAAGGTGAGCTGGATTACATCATGATAATGTCATTGGGATACACAAAGGGGACAGTTTTAGAGCCATAAGTTCTTACCTAGTATCTTTGTGTGGGACCACCATGACATCAGTATGATGTAATGCATTTCGGTTGTTGATGTCATTATGACGTAATGCATTTAGATTGTTGATGTCATTATGATGTAATGTATTTTATGTTGATGTCATTATGATGCAATAATGTTTCTGTCAGGATACAGTAAGGGTGGTGAGTCCTACTGGGCGAGCGGTGTCCACATCTTTGCTCCACTTCCACTCATAACCAACGCGTTTCTCCGGAGAATCAAACTACACTCTTTCCTGACTGCTGGGAACCTCATCGAGTCAGGTAAGAGGATCGTTGCTACTACATGTCTGTTTGTGTGATAAGGAGAGCCCCCAGAATGATGTCCAATATTTTTCTGGGTGTTGGCAGATCACTACAGAACGTAAATTTTTAAGAGGGTGCAAATTTGTAAACCTTTGAACCTTGCGTCCTATAAAGTAATAGGGTTTTCTCCTGAGATCAGGACACCTCACTAATCAGGACACTTTCCTCTGAGATCAGGACACCTCACTAATCAGGACACCTCTCACTAATCAGGACACTTTCCTCTGAGATCAGGACACCTCTCACTAATCAGGACACTTTCCTCTGAGATCAGGACACCTCACTAATCAGGACACTTTCCTCTGAGATCAGGACACCTCTCACTAATCAGAACACCTCTCACTAATCAGGACACTTTCCTCGACCCCTTGTCCTAAAACCTCTCTCTCCTCTGTCGTACAGCTACCCTCCCATCGGTCCGGTCTCTATTCCATTCCACGAGGGTGTCGTGTGGTCTGGGGCTCTGCACGAGACTCGGACTAGCTCAGATCGAACTCAACTACGCTCTGCCTCTTCTAGCTCAGAAAAGTGACAGGTAACACCAATTTAACCCCTTTAGAACTCTCTTTTAACCCTTTCTAAACCTGCTATATACCCTTTTTAACTCATAACCCTTTGACCACCCTTATAGGTTTAGTCTGTTTTTTACATGCAGTTTGCAACCAGGTCTACAGTTTGGTGTTGGAATGGACATGTTGTGATTACATCATCATGACATCACTCCTTGTATTGTTATCAGTTGACACAATCTGTACAATTATGGTTAGTCCTCAATCGAAAATAAAAACATTAATATTGTACGCAATAAGGACGCAATTATACATACAATCACACAATAATTATCACTTCTTCTAAAATACAACAGTAATGTGGCAATGGAGTTAAATTTATTATTGACTGTAAGCCCCCTAAATGTCCTTGTGTCTAAAGGGTTAATGTCACAGGTGTACGTTTGCTGCTTTGAAAGGGTTAAAGTCGTGGTTCGTTTGGGAGTGGTTGGTTGCTATGTTGTTTGTTGAGTGGTTGCTAGGTGGGCATCAATTAGAATGAGTGCCAGGCGGGGATACCAAGCTTCGAGAACCAGCGGACGCAGAAGTCCCACATTCCGTTCCACAGTTGCCTGGCAACCTGTGACCGACGGTAGAGGACTCGCGTTGCTAGGAGGAACACAATGAGGTTGAACGTGAACCTCATGTTCCGTAGCCTACACATGAGAGGATGGAGAGGGGGAGGAGAGAGGGAGGAGAGAGAGGGGGAGGGGAGAGAAGAGAGCGATAACGTGACAATAATGGCAGGGGCTAAGATGCAAAGGGTGGGGATCAATTAGGGAAACCAACGCCTAACTTGGCAAGCTACTGTACATAGTACACAGTTTCATGACAAAATCTCTCCGTATGTATGCAGACCCCAAGGGTGGGTATTAATTAGGGAAACTTGGCAAGCTACATAGCATCAAAATCTCTCCGCACGTATGCAGACCCCAAGTCCACCTCTTGATGTTCTGTCGAGCCTTGGGGAGGTCTGCGAGGTCCTCGTGCAGGAGGTACTGTTTGAGTCCGAGACAGTAGCGCTTGATGTAGGTCTGCCAGTTCATCTTGCGGATGTCGAAATCAAAAGTCTGTCGATCCTCGGGTGACATCAGTGCCAGGAGCTTGTCCGAGTTGTTGTGTGTCCACTGCGATAGAGAGGAGAGGGAGGGAGAGGGGGAGAGAGAGAGAGGTGAACATAAAGTGAAGAGGTAGAAAGTTTCGTAATCTAAAGCCCAACATACACGGCTTATCTCACGCACCATGTTGCATGAGGTAAAGTTGCACTGCGTACGTATGTTGCGATTCATGTATGTAAAATGCGATGTTTTGGTGGCAGACTAAAATGGACGGGGTTTGGGATAACGTGACCGTACCCTCCAGTCCATCTGCAGAAAGTAATCCAGTTGTTGAAGAGCTCCGTTTAGCTTGCTGTAGGTTCTGACAAAACTGGGGTGGAGAGAGAGAGAGAGAGAGAAGAAAAGAGTAACGATTTTAATGGGTGGCTAAAGATAAAACAGAACGTAATTGCATTCTTTCCTTGTTCTATGTTTAGTAACATTTCTAAATTTAGCCCTTATTGCCAGATTCCCTTTAAAAAAGCAAGCAAACAGGTGTAAAAGAACGGAGAAAAAAGTCGATAAAAACGTACAATGGTTTCTTCTGGAGTAGTCTGAGAATGGTGTCTCCAATGAAGCCAGGGATGACGTGAAGGAAAAAGTTGAACACCGGGTAGAATTGCCTGAGAGAGAATTAGGACGTTGTCCTAATAATTTCAGGACGACCTGAATGGAGGGTGACTCACGCGGGCCGAGCCTTGCATACCCACGGCCTTCTATAGAGCTTGTCCATTGGATACAGTTCTTGTGCAGCCATGAAATAGTCGCCTAGAGAAACAGCCAGTAAAGGGTTAAAATACACACTCCGGAAAGGGTTAATATTAGGAAAGCATCAATCAAAACTTTAAGGCATGTGTTAATTAAGAAAGGGCCTAGAAGCAATTTTATAATGGAGTCAAAGGCACCGGTTTGTAGAGCTAAAAGGGTTTTAAATGATACGGTTCTAAAGGGGTTAAAGACGACTCACAGAGCTGTACCCAGTTCATGGGGTTGAGCGTGCTGGAGGAATAGTTGTAGAAGATGGGAGAGGGGGTGGGGCTTGCTCCGGTGATCCAGCCAATGGCAATGAGGAAGTTGTTGACGAGATCGACCGGCACAAAGTCAGCCTTTCTGAACTCGTCGCACCGCACCACCCGGAGGAATCCCTTGCCCACCTTTTTGGAGGGAAAAGAGAGGGAGGGAGGGAGACAAGGTTGTGTATACAACTGTTGTACGCTGTAATAAAAGGTCAAACTAGAAAAAAAAACATTCTTGCTCTTTTAGCGACTGCAGAGCCAACACCCTATGCCTAAACATTGCAGAAAGCAGGACACTGCAGAAAAGAGAACGCCACTCACCGCAATGAAGACACCAGTGGGCCCATGAAGAACATCCACCCAACCCTACACAGACAGGGAGAAAAAGTTCTAACACTGGCCAGAACTGAGCCTCTTTGAAAAGGAGAGACTAGAACATGCAGGCACATTGCAGACACAGTGAGGAAACAGTGAGGAAGAGAAAGTTCCTAAAACTGAGGGAGACACACAAAGTTCTTAACACTGGCCAGAATTGAGCCTCTTTATACAATGAGCATTAGAATGGACAGTAGAATGGACAGTACACATTCTAGTGGCATTCACTGCTCATTCAGTTCAGGAGACATTGTTCAATGTTCAAACAGGAAAGACTCAAACATGCAGGCACATTGCAGATTCCTGAAAATCCGTCGTATGTATAGTACGTACCTCCACAGGTTCGTTGAGACTGGCTCCAATGATGGAAGGTCTGTAGATGGATACTGGCAGACCTTCGCCTCATCCATTATTACCTGCACGTAGTAGAGTAGAGAGAGGCAAATACAATCACCTCATCTTTTTGGTGGATAGCTTTACCGTGGAACCCTCTCTAAGGACACTGAAACCTTGTGAGAGATACACTCATCTCTCTAAGGACACCCCTGAAATGAGGACACCTCTCTAATAAGGACACCTTTTCTTTCCCCAAGAACAGTTCTTGCATGCAACTCAACCCCTGAAATGAGGACACCTCTCTCACTTACTCAATGACTCACGTACCTGTTCAGCAAGAGCTTTGGTGAAGGTGTAAGTGTTGGGATAGCCACTGGAGAGAGTTGGAGCCAACGTCTCCAGCTGCTCGTCCGTCATCCAACTGCAGTGGAGAAGGGAGACGGGATTAATTAGAGGGGGGAAACAGTGGAACTCCTCTAATCAGGACACCAATGGGACAGAAGAAAGTGTCCATATTAGTGAGGTGTCCTCATTTCAGGGGTTAAATTGCATGCAAGAACTATTCTTGGGGAAAGAAAAGGTGTCCTTATTAGAGAGGTGTCCTTAGAGCGTCCTTATTAGAGAAGTTCCACTGTATACATCATGGAAGGGAGTGAGATGAAGAAATAAAACGTAAGAATGAGAAAATGTCCCACGAATACTGAGTGTTGTGTCTTACTCTAGCAGTCCCAGTAGTTTGCTGGGAGGGAGTGGGGTCTGGTAGTGCACCTCGTCTATGACTCCCGTTCTATTGCACTGGGAGTAGGCCGAGGACACATGGACCATAGACTGAGGGAGGGAGGGAGAGATGAGGTGGATTGTGGACTTTAAAGGGTAATGGCAGTATACAAGGGCTAAATTTAGAATATTATGTTACTAAAAACAGCAGGTTGCTGTATTCTTGCACCTGGCCCTATAATTGAGTTCCATCTTTAGCCTACGTGTGTATACACATAATTAAGTGATGTGGACGTACGCATACCTTGAGGTGCTTCATTCCGTGACAGAGAGTGATGAGTTCGCTGACAGACGCCACGTTCTTTGTCAGCGCCTCTCTGAGCAACACACACGAGAGCAATAAATAGGAAGGAAACAGAGTATTTAGCCAGCTTTAAAAATTGACAAAGGTGAGATAAATATGATCTATACCTCAGAGGAGATTCGAAACGGACGGTGGCGGCCAGATGGAATACGATTGAGACTCTGTCTTGAAGCATCTCCTGATCCTCTCTCCTCATCCCCAGCTGTTTCTCCTGAATGTCCCCGAACACCGGGACCACCTTGTCCACTGCACCGGGCTGCTCCGATCTGAGCCTCTCAAACAGCTGGTGGAGGGAGGAGAGAGGGAGGGAGAGAGGGAAGAGAGAAGGAGGGAGAGAGGGAGAGAGGGAGGGAGAGAGGGAGAGAGGGAACAAGAAAGAGAAGGAGATGGAGAAGGAGAGAGAATGGAGAAAGAAGAAGTAGACGTGAGTATAATGGCTGCTGAGTATAATGTATTCTGCTAGTTTCAAGACAAGGAAAGAGAGGGAAGCAGAAGAGGAGGGAGAGGAGGGAGAGAGGGAGAGAGGAGAGAGAGGGAAGAAAGAGAGGAGAGAGAGAAACAAGAGAAAGACAAGGATTCCTGGTTCACCCACAAACGCAAAAGTCACTCACAAAAGCATGACCAGAGAGCCCACACAATAGGAAAGATCCTAAAACAATCCCCAAACCACTTGTCCAAACAGACACCACCCAAACCTCACACCCCATGCATAGTATCAGGGGGCTTATGTCAGGTGATATTGCGGGCTGGATCCAACCTTTTGCCAAATTCTTAACAAATCTGCTACAAAAATAGAGACATTCCCTGCCAAATGGACACAAGAAAGTGATTTCTCCTGGAATATGGAAGTATATGGAGACCAACTTTTGTCCAGTGGATCTGTCTCCATATATGCATGATTATAAACGCGAGGCTTTCTTGACGATGGGGTTGAAAATACTCGTGCTTTAGAAGAAGCGTACGATGTTACTCTTTCACTTTCCCCTCATATCACGTGCCTTCAGTGCGACAAAATAATTACATGTACATAATGGGGTCGTGTCTGTAGGCAGACATACTTACTGCGCAATTGGGACCAGAGAGTAGCCACTTAGCACCCAATAAAACCCTAATTTGCACATTTGCTACTCACCCCTTGTGCTATATACAATGGGCGAGAATGTAAAAAGCGATTTATCAACCAACCGTTACCCCACAAAACGTCGCTCTAATAAGTTGCATCCGCAAGAAGTACAGTAGTATAGCCAAGCCAGCCAGACACTCTACAACGGGCGCGCAACTCTGCTCCTCAGCGCGGCGGACCATTTTTCTTTTACCGGTGATGATAGAAGTTCCTTCGTCCGTTGCTCTGGGCTCTTTCCTTTCTTAGCTCGAGTCAGCACGAACACGCTCCCGAGGTCCGGGACGCTCCGCAGCAGTTTCTCCAGAAGACACTTGCCCATGAACCCCGTGGCGCCCGTGATGAACACGTCTCGGGCGCTGTAGAAGTCCACAATGGAAGGTAGCATGTTCTCGCTCCCGTCCGTTATCACAACTTCGGCGGCCATCGTACATACACACACACACACGAGAGAGCGAGGGAGAGGAAGACACGCCGGCTTTCGAAGGGCTGTTGGGCGTTGTTTCCACGCGAATTTTTGACCTCTGGCTTACCGCAGTGAGTGTGGGTGGAGGTCGTAAATTTACGGTTGCCACGGTAACTAAAATCACGTGAGCGACAATATTTACGCACGCACGCAGGTACGTACGTACGTACATGCAAGGAACGTAAGCCTTACCTACCTATGCGCATGCGTGCCGAAAAGCCTGCACACACACACACGTACCTATACCTAGTAACTGCGCATGAAGGTAGGTAGGTGTGCGCCGTAAAAATGGGCGTTTACACAAAATATATTCATCACTCTACAGCAAAATTGTTTTTTAGACGCTAGTGACTTCCACGTTGGTGACTCTGAAAATGAGAGTGTCATTCACCAGGTACTCTTTACCCTCTTCAGGGTTGTAGAGATCTGAGTGGGAAATGAATTCTGCTAGGCCCCATCCTTTCTTAGATCTATCGCCCTCAGTCACTCTTTGGAAAGGGTTGTCATGTTCAATGGGATCACAGTGTTCAACTGGCTTTTGCTCATACTTTTCTCCTCCCTCTTTCTGGTTGACCAGTTCAACTGTCATCTCTCCTTTGAACGGCCACTTGAGATGGGAATCAAACTCTCCCTTCATCATGTAGACATATACACTAACATGAGTACCCTTACCACTACCCATCCATTGGCATAAATATAAGGCACATCTTGTAGCCACCAATGTGGGTGTAAAAGCCTGGACCAAACCAACTCTTGCTCATCTTTTTGTTTTCTTTCAAAGTCAGTCATGATGATATCAGGGGGTGGAATAAATGAAGGTTTTGGGGAAATTTTGGAAAAAGCTACCATCAAATTCACAGTTGGTTTCCCAGATTCTTGCATTCAGACGCTGTCAGTTTTAGATGATCATCTTTGCTCTCATCCAAGTGCTCTTTCATTGATTTTCTCTCTACTTTTGCCTGGCAACCAGCAAAGGAGAATTCACACTGAATTTTTTCCAGAGGACATTCCTCTTGGAGATGGCGTTGGAGAAATCGACGCTCAATTTCAACTGTAGAACATTCGTTGGGGCAAACCTTGGGATAACGCTGGCATTTCGGCCAATGATCATTGACAACCTTTTCATGTGTCGCCTTGTAATCACAATATTGGCAGGTAAATGGTCGTTTGTTACATTCATTGGATTGTGCTTCTTCAGATTGCATCGCTTGATACGTCCGCCACACCGCAGGGGACATTCAACATCAACGAAATCACACTGCCCCTCCACTGACCCTGGTTTCAGGTGGTTGTCTAGCTCTCCCAACTCCCCCACCCACTCACAACCAGCAGACTTGTTGTTGCACCGAACTTTCAGTTGCCTCACCTTCCGCCGAAAGAACTTATCGTCGGTTGTTCTCAGAGGCGCTGCCTTACAAAGCGGACACGGTTTTCCCTCGGCCTGGAGTTTCTGGGCGGCGGCACGTGAGAGATGGTTTCCGCAGCACAAGTTGGTCTGCACTGGATCCAGGAGTACCTCGAACGTGACGGGACAGAAGAATTCTTCGGATGGCCTTTCTACGAAGTCGTACTCAAAGCTGTTCGTATTAGCGTTCGAAGCCATTACAACTTACAAGGACAGGATCTAGGAGGGAGCTAGGATGGATCACCACCACCGCGCGCGCGCGCGACCGTACGGATCTCGTGCCATGACGTGTGAGTCGAGAGCGCATGCGCGCGCTTATTTCCGGGTCCCTGGTCCTGAAAGATGGGTCCGTCTTCTTTCTCGATGTCTGTGTGGACGGTGGCGGTATTGTTGGCCGCAGTAGGCGTGGCCACAGTTCGCCTCATCAACAAAGCACAACCAGATCCCTATATGGTAAGACTATCAGCTGCCAACACGTATATTTCTGCATATTTTACCACGTGTGTATCCATTTTTCGCTCTAGGACGAGATTTTCCACGTTCCTCAAGCTCAGAACTACTGTGTTGGTGACTACAGTCACTGGGATCCTATGATTACAACTCTACCTGGACTGTAGGTTTGCCGGAAACGTTTTTTGAACTTCTTTTTCTCGTTTTTGCACAATGCAGATATTTATCGAGTGTTTTGTGGGTGGAGCCTGTTGCTAGGATACTGTCGCTACCGACGACAGACCTATGTACAACAGCCAATTTGCGGTATGAGGATAAATTGCAATAAGGAATCCCTTATTTGTTGATCCCAAAATGAGTACTTATTTGTCTGACTGCCTCAGGCTGCAGAATTCAATGTTTCTGATTCTCAACTTTCTCCTCTTCTGTTGGTTGCTCAGAAAACTGCACAAATCAATCTCAACCACACGTGAGAACTTTTCCTAGCCAACTTCAGTCATTCTATACTCTGTAGCAATGTTTAGGGTATGCATTTCAGTGGCAAAGAATGATTGCTTTTCCCAATGTATAAATACAATAGCCTGATCAACAATATTTTGCATATAAACACAGATTTCTATAATACTTGCCACTGTACAAAATTATCAAAAACATTAACATGGCTTTCTCAAACTAAAAAGGCTTAAAAATCATTTTCCCACTTTATATCCTCTCTTTCTCTCTCTCCCTCCAGCCTGCCTGCTGACAGCGGTCTCTCTGACCCACCTCCCTGTCCTCTACTTCTCCGGTCTCCTCTACTACACTGATGCCGGGTCCCTCTTCGCCGTTCTACTGGCCTACTCTCTCTCTCTATCACACAGTCATCTTCTAGCTGGCCTCGTGAGCTCTTTATAACTCTGCAATAATAGTGTAGACAGTTTAGAACCATAGCTTGTGGAAATTTTAAACTTCACTGGCTAATACCCAGTTGTTAAATTGCTTTTTGTATAATATTATGGTAGCCTCTCACTAACTGCTGGGCTATAATTTTGTGCATGCTTTCCAATGATGTAATGTAAAATTCTTTCCAGGTGTCATTGATTGCAGTGGTCTTCAGGCAAACTAACATACTGTGGGTGGTGTTCATCGCTGGATCTGCTTTTCTTCAAAATCTGAAGAACTCTGCACCATCTTTGTCCATTTCTTTCTCACCTGGTGAAAGTATCAAATTATTTCTCGCTCTTCTATCTCTACTTCTATCTCTCTGGCCTTATATGGTCGTCGGGTTGACCTTTGCCCTATTTCTCGTCTGGAACGGCTCCGTCGTCGTGGGCGACAAGACTCATCATCAGATGCACGTTCATCTTCCTCAGATATTCTATTTCGTCTCGTTTTCCATCTTCTTCTCCCTGCCTTACCTACTGGGTAGTGTTAGATTGTGGCGGGAGTTTTTGAGAGGTATGAGGAAGAAAAAGATGATTGTCGGAGTTGTGTGTCTCCTGCTTTTTTCTCTCGTCTCGGTTCACTACTTCACGTGAGTTGTGTGTGTGTATGTGGGCATGATATAGAGAGAAAGAGAGAAATAATAGAGTTTAGGCTAAGTATAATATATAGAGAGAGGGAGAGAAACTAGTGCCTGAAGGTATGCATTGTTGCTTACAATCACATATATAGGGTGTGGTAAGCAAAGAGGAGGGGAGTGTGTGTGGTGTAAGGGTTTGAGCAAGCGAATGAGGCACTAAAGCAGGTGACATCTTTCTTATCGTTGGTTCCCAATGCAGACAAGTCCATCCCTACCTGCTGGCTGACAATCGCCACTATCCGTTCTACGTCTGGAGAAAAGTCTTTCAGCGCCACGAATCAATCAAATACCTCCTCACCCCATTCTACTCCATCGCTACTGCCTTCCTTCTGCACTCTCTTGGTAATTCATTATTATGTCAACACATCAAGTACGTCAGGATTTGTGTCAGAAATCGTTAAAAAAAAAACGGAAATCTAATGGAATTCTTGCACTGGTTTTTTTAAATTTGTTTAGCTCTATCTTTCAAAATTTAGCCCTTTGTTTAGCTATCTTTCTAAATTTAAATTTAGCCCTTATCTATAATACTACCACATTCCCTTTAATCCCACTTGCAATGATTTTTCCTGCTTTTGTCTTATGATTGTCTCTCTATATGTATTTTCAGCTAAAACCCAAGCTCCTCTATGGTAAGTCAGTTCTAAAATTTGTTACCCATTGTCTTACAAAATGTTTAATCTTCCCTGTGATTTTTTTGTAGGATTCTTCTCTTCAGTTCAGTGTGTCTTCTAGTTCTGGTTCCTCAGCAACTCTTAGAGTTTCGATATTTCATCATACCTCACGCGATGTTGCGCCTACACCTCCCCCCTCCCTCTCCCTCCCGATCTCTCCCTCTTCTGTTTGAGGCTCTCCTCAACGTGGCAGTCAATTACGCCGCCATCTGGGTGTTTCTGAATGTTCCAGTTCGTTGGGAACATGATAACTCCACCCACCACTTCATGTGGTGACCTTTATGTGTGAACAATAATTATTATATATTTTACTTATTCAACTGCTGCGCTTGCACACAAATGCCTTTCATATTATATATCGGCTATAATTATTTTATCAAAACCCAAAGACTTATTATATTATGTTGTTTTCTGATGCAAAATATTGGCAATTTCGTATTCTGGGCAATAAATATTGGTGAAACAGTGGTTTACAGCTGGTATAAATAATGCACCACGTGATGACGTAACAATGATGTAATAATGTGATGGTCACATGATGGGTCACATGACAGTCATGGAACTGGACCATGATGATGCAATAGAGTGTAATATCCCTGGATGATCACTCAACTCTGGGTCCCTGAGAGAGAGAGAGAGAAAAAGGAAGTGATAATTAAATTTTCCAGGCTGTGTATATATGAATCTTGAAACATTTTTGTACCAACACACATTTTTTCAGCAGTATAATTATTATTATGTGGACACGAAACTTGCAACCAGTCACTTACCAGCTGTCTTCAAAGTCGTCTGACTTGCTGTCGGTGGGGTCGGCGGGGTCGTTTCCACGGCTACCACCAACCATGGAACCAACAAGCGGCAGTCGTGAAGGAGAGCATCTCCTGACCAGCCACATGAGCCTCGACCACGACGACGAATGTTGGTTCTCTAGTGCTTCCTGCCGTCTTGCTCTCTCAATATCCTTCATTATCTGGTCCATCTCTCGCCATAACGACCGCAGATAAGAGGGTACCTTCCCAATTTCCCCCTTCCCCCCGTCCCTCTCCCCCACCTCCCCGTCTTCCTCGTCGTCACCAAGGCAACTGAAGAAATCGCCATTTACGGAAACTGTAATTGAGCATTGTCGTCGATGGGTGCGGCTTGGAGCGACATCCGAACACTGACTGCAGTAATCACTCGAAGATTCCTCCTTTTCCGATGACGTCATCACCGGAGTGCTGCTATTTTTAGAAACGGCAGCCGCACCGTTGACGTTGCTATTTCTAGAAGCGGAGATGGTGGTGTTGTAATCGAGGGCGGGGAGTGTGGAGCGACGTCGAACCGGGCGGATCAGAGACTCGGAGATGATACCTGTCAGACCAGTTTTAAAAACCAGTTGAGTGAGATTCTAAACACACATACATACATAACATGCATATGTACCCAGACAGACACTCAATAAGGAGGTGCGTGTGTGTGTGTAATGATAGTCATGTCTGCTAATTAAACAGGAATTCGAGGGTATTTACAGGCCGTGAATATCATTAACAGTCTACCTATTCGTGAGCATGGCGCACATTCCGCGACAAGTGACGCAAGGTAATTAGTACCATGTACTTTAGCACGTGCTGACGAAACAATGCCAGCAGTGCAAACAACAATTATTACTTTGAGGAAGCGAGCGACCAAGGTAGTAAACAAACAAGTATAGAAATGAGAGGGAAATCAACCGAGAGGGTGCAGTTGACTTGTTTGCCGTGCCTCTGCCTTGCTACCTCGTAGTTAACACATGAAAAGAAAGAGCTGTCCTGGGTGTAGTTGACTTGTTTGCCTTGCCTCTGCCTTGCTACCTCGTAGTTAACACATGAAAAGAAAGAGCTGTCCTGGGTGTAGTTGACTTGTTTGCCTTGCCTTGCCTTTCTACCTCGCTACCAAGTTGTTGAGACATGTAAAGTTCAGGGATGGCACCAGAGAGTCCACCAGGGAGACATAGCTCCTCTATATCTTCATTTGTCCCCCTGAATATGCTTCCCAGGGGACACTTTGACCCCCAAATATCAGACCTCCTTTTATCGGGACCATCTACATTTGTCTCATTATCTCCCAGCTATAAATAGCTCTGGAGCCAGCTCTGGTAAAATATTACACCAGAAATAAGAGAAACTCTTACCTTCGAGTTTGAAGAAGCGGTAGGCGTCTTTGTAGCCGCAGTAGAAGAGATCTTCCAGTTCGGACCATTGGGTGGGAACGAGGGCCTTCAACAGTCGATGGAGATTTCTGGTGCTGAGTTGTAGTGATTGGTCGACCACGTGGAGGAAGTGGGGCGAATGGGATTCACCCTGTGATTAGTGGGAGGGAAGGAGGGAGGGAATAACAATAGTTTAAACCCTTTGGACGCCATGGGTATCTCCTTAAATATGCAGAAATTGATGTATAAAGTATTAGTGCCTAGTATTATAGCCATACTATATAAATTCTTATGGACTTATGGAGGCTCTGGGCATATATATATATGCCCGTGGCTTGCTAAGGGTTAATATTGTAGTTGTCCGATAACACTGCTAGTAACACTATTATATAAGCACACCAGGCAAGGACACACACACACGCACAGCCCTAGTAAAGGGAAGGTGGGAGGGAGTGATAGAGGAAGTCGTGTCATGGGACTCGGCTACAGAGTCATGAATTCTTTGTCAACAACTTGTGAATATACAAGAATGTTAATTATGGGTTGCATTCTGACAACGCCCACTGGTTATGTAAGCTTACATGGGTATATACAGAGACATGTGACGTGTTGCATAAGCTAAACAAAGATTACAGGAGCGCTTCATGTTGTACATGTTTATTAGCACAATATTGCATCACCCAACAGTATATACTGTTGATCTATGTATGGTATGTGCATGGGGTGTCCACTTTTTCTTGATAAATTTCACAATTTACTAGATGTTACGGAAACAGAGATTGGCCAGGTGTACATGCTGTCCTGGGTGTAGTTGACTTGTTTGCCTTTCCTTGCCCTTCTACCTCGTTACCAAGTTGTTGAGACATGCGTACCTACCTGGGGACAAATATCGCACTCTCCGCTGAATGGTGAGACTGTTATGACGTTTGGGTCGTGTCCACGAGGGATGTTGCTGGTGAATCCTCCATCGCAACATCTCTAAAGAGAGAGAGAGAGAGAGATTACGTAAGGAATTGATACACGGCTATAATGATTATACCGATAAAGACAGGTGATGCAATTCTCAACTACAACAGTAAACAATTTATCCCCAGAGCGATTATAAAAAGCACCGCAAAACAAACGCGACTTTGAAAACATGTTGTCATTATTGAAGCACCATTTAGACTTTCCAGATGGAAGAATGTACTTGTGAAAGTATATATATGCATACCTTTCCGCGAACTTTCGGTAAGTCTTTTAGACCGGCATATCCTGGGATGAAACTGCTTCCAATAATAGCCTGTGATAGAAAAACGGAGAGAGAGAGAGGAAGAGAGAGGGGGAGAAAGAGGAAGAGAGAGGAAGAGAGAGGGGGAGGGAGAGGAAGTAAACTGGAATGTAAAGGAAATAATATGTTGCCAGAAAGGAAGACACTTAGCAACACCTTTGCTCCCAAAACATGCAACATCACAAAAGAGTCGGATCACATGATGACAGAGATGACATGCACACACACCTTGTCTTCCTTTGTGTAAAAGCTCTTCAACAGTTTGAAAATCACTAGCTATAGCTATACCCCCCAAAAAGCTGGCTAATTAACCAAAGCTAGTAAGCCGCACAAACGTCACGCCGCGCGCCTACTACACTTTTTGCGCGGACTTTTTGAAGACGCTGGCGCACGTCCCCCCGAGTGTAAGCTTATAGCTAGCTAGGGAATTAGCTATCAAACCTTTCATACTCACGTTTATCAGCTCCTTTCTCGTCGTGAAGTTAGAAACGAGCCAGTTCTTGGGTTCGGGGATCGTCTTCGTCTCGTCGAAAGTCGTCATGGAGATCTTGACCTTGTTCCGACACTTCTTGTGCGCGTCTTCGGGCAGAAAGCCTTCGAGAAATTCCCTCAGTCTCGCGTAGAGGTTGAAACTCGGGTGTAGCGCGCCCAGCAACTTGTGTTCCCGCGACGCCTCGAACGTCTTCTTGACCCATTTGTACGGGACCATAGGATCGCTCTTACATGCGGCGCACACGGCCGTAATGGCGCCGGCGCTGGCTCCGTAGAAACCCGAGAACTCGTCGAAGAGATGGGGTACGTGGTCCACGACGCATTTCCCAACTCCGACGTGATACACGCCCAGGAATCCACAGCCGCCGAACGATATCTCCAACTTTCTCTTGGGAGTCGAAGCTTCTCTGCAGACGCTGCTAGCAGTCATGATCTCTCTTTATCTGTGTGTGTGGTGTCTGCTCTTGTACTCGACTACTTTACTACTACTGCACACACACACAAAGCACGCGGAGTTTGTAGAGGTGTGTTGAAGGCGCGGCGGAAGTCACATGGCAAGCTAGAGCACACTTTCATACACGTACATACATACATACGTACGGCGCGCGGGGGACCGGACCACCTACCTAACCACCGCCGCCCGGCCGGAAATAAGCGCGCGCATGCGCTCTCGACTCACACGTCATGATATGACACGTGACTGGTGATCCTCTCTCTCTAGCTCTCAGCTCGATCCCTTGTAAAGTTGCGATGGCTTCGAACACTGATGATGATACGAACAGCTTTGAGTACGGCTATGTAGAAAGGCCATCCGAAGAGTTCTTCTGTCCCGTCACGTTGGAGGTACTCCTGGATCCAGTGCAGACCAACTCGTGCTGCGGAAACCATCTCTCACGTTCCGCCGCCCAGAAACTCCAGGCCGAGGGAAAACCGTGTCCGATTTGTAAGGCTGCGCCTCTGATAACGACCGATGATAAGTTCTTTATGCGTAAAGTAAGGCAATTGAAAGTCCGGTGCAGCAACAAGTCTGCTGGTTGTGAGTGGGTGGGTGAGTTGGGAGAGCTAGACAGCCACCTGAAACCAGGGTCAGTGGAGGGGCAGTGTGATTTCGTTGATGTTGAATGTCCGCTGGAGTGTGGCCAAAGGGTTAAACGACGCAATCTAGCAAAGCACAAATCCAATGAATGTATCGAACGGCCATTTACCTGCCAATATTGTGATTACGAGGCGACACATGAAAAGGTTGTCAATGTACATTTGCCGAAATGCCAGCGTTATCCCAAGGTTTGCCCCAACAAATGTTCTACTGATGAAATTGAGCGTCGATTTCTCCAACGCCATCTCCAAGAGGAATGTCCTCTGGAAAAAATTCCTTGCAAGTTTGCCTTTGCCGGTTGTCGCGAAATAGTTGAGCGAAAATCAATGAAAAACCACTTGGAAAAGAGCAAAGACGAACATTTGGAAATGACTGCTGTCAAATGCAAAACATTTGAAGCTGAACTCAACAATTTGAAGCTGGTTATTGCCAAAATTTCCCCCAAGCCTATCTTCAATCAACCCCCTGATATTAACATGACTGACTTCGAGGGACGTAAAAAACGTGGTGAACGCTGGTATAGTCCAGCTTTTTACTCCCACGTTGGTGGCTACAAGATGTGCCTTAGTATTGATGCCAATGGATGGGGTAGTGGTAAGGGTACTCATGTTGGTGTATGTGTCTACATGATGAAGGGAGAGTTTGATTCCCATCTCAAGTGGTCGTTCACAGGAAAAATTACAGTTGGACTTGTAAACCAAACAGAGTCTACTACTCACGATGTAATATTGACCAAGACACTTAGTCCCTGGATCTAACAGACAAGATTTTCCAAAGAGTAACTGATGGTGACAAAGCGACAACAGGAAGGGGCAAGCCAAAATTCATCTCCCACTCAGATCTCTACAACCCTGAAGAGGGTAAAGAGTACCTGGTGAATGACACTCTCATTTTCAGAGTCACCAACGTGGAAGTCACTAGCGTCTAAAACAACACGTTGAACTATTTTGTGAACATTTTGTACACGCCCATTTTTAACACGGCGCATGCGCCAGTGGTGATCTCAGAGGCAGTCCGGGCGGCGCCCGGGGCCTCGGCGCTCAGCCCCCTGATCGGCACACCCTTGCTGTCCTTGTCCTTGTGTGTTGCGATGGCAGATACGAACAGCTTTGAGTTACGACTTTGTAGAGAGGCCGATCCGAAGATAGTTCTCTGTCCGCGTCTGCTGGTTGTGAGTGGGTGGAGGAGTTGGAGAGGTCTAGACACATCCGACCTGACCAGGGTCAGTGGTAGGAGAAATGCTGAGTAGTTTGTCAATAGTGAAGTGCATAGTGCGCGCGCAGGTACGTGGTCCTGGTATGTGGCTGCGCAGCTAGTACGTTGCACTTCGCTGCTGGAGAGGGACACCTCTCATACTGACACTTTCAATGTCTTAATTAAGGTGTCATTATTCAAAAGTTTCTCACTGTCCATCATGCATATTTATATGCTTCATCATGTGTGTGCAGACCACACTGCATTGCATCAGAAGTAATTTCTCGTTATTCTCTGCTCTCTCTCACCGCTCATAGATCCAGGATTTGTCCCAAACAACCACTCAGCAACGATTACCGAAAGGCTACTGAACACGACCAGACGTCGTTGCCGTAGCGACTTCACTACGATTCGCCCACGGTCGGGGAGGCGGAGGGTAGAGATGGTAGGGTAGAGAGGCGAGCGCGCTACGAGCATAACCCCACCCCTTTTTGTTCCTACGCATCCTGCTTGTTCTATGCCATCACAGCACGCCGCAGAGGATGCTGACACGTCGAGGCGGCATCTATCACTGCGGATCGAATCAACTTTTCCGTCTATACTGGCCCCTGAATCAAAGGCTGGAAGGTATGCGTCTGTGCCTATTGCTTGTCGTTGGTCTTGCTATTCTTGTGTCCTTCATACTTTCAGAGTACTTTTGATGTGGGTCCGTGATCACGAGGCATTTCCCACCGAGTGATGCCAGAAGGGGCCCATGCGCGAAGCTATTCTATGTGTGTGTGGTCTTTTGAGTTGAATTATTGTTAGATGTGTGTGTGTTAGCACGTAAGCGAACGTCTGATATGCTTATTTGTGTGTGTAGCTGTGGTGTGTGCCTACCGTCCTGTGTAAAAATGTTGTTCCCTTCACCTGTGTCATGTGCGCCCGCGGTAGTACAGATGTTTTCCTTTGTGTTTGTGTGCGGCCGATGTGTTTGTGTTGGAAGTGTGTGTCTGGAAGACATGTAGGTAGAGATCCTGGCGATGCAATGCTCGGCTTGTGTTTTTCTCGGTGGGTTTCGGCGCTGGGGGTTGACGCCGGGACACGCGCCGGCTTGTGTCGCCTCCCGAATTGTGTGTGTAGCTGTACTGAAAACTCATTCACGTCTCGGTGTTAGTATGTGTGATTTGTCAATCAAAATTGTTTTTCGTTGCGTGTTGGCTTCCCAAGTGCTGATAATAGAGTTATTGTTACGGCTTTGTGTAGACCCTCGTGTTCCGTTGTGTTCAATTTGTTTTAGTAGTGATTAAGATTTGTTTATGTGCAGTGTGTGTAGAGCCATGCGTTTCTGGACTTCTGCTCCGTCTTCCTGGAGTTCCAAAAGTAGCCCAGACACACACGCAAGTCGACTAGCATGGCCCCGGTTATAACTACAGTCCTCGCGTGCCGCCGCCCAAGAAAATCCAGGTCGAGGGAAAAACAGTGTCCGATTTGTAAAGGTGCGCCTCTGATAACGGCCGATGATAAGTTCTTTCGGCGGAAGGTGAGGCAATTGAAAGTCCGGTGCAGCAACAAGTCTGGGTGGGGGAGTTGGGAGAGCTAGACAACCACCTGAAACCAGGGCCAGTGGAGGGGCAGTGTGATTTCGGTGATGTTGAATGTCCCCTGGAGTGTGGCCAAAGGGTTAAACGACGCAATCTAGCAAAGCACAAATCCAATGAATGTATCGAACGACCATTTACCTGCCAATATTGCGATTACAAGGCGACACATGAAAAGGTTGTCAATGATCATTGGCCGAAATGCCAGCGTTATCCCAAGATTTGCCCCAACGAATGTTCTACAGTTGAAATTGAGCGTCGATTTCTCCAATGCCATCTCCAAGAGGAATGTCCGCTGGAAAAAATTCAGTGTGAATTCTCCTTTGCTGGTTGCCAGGCAAAACTAGAGAGAAAATCAATGAAAGAGCACTTGGATGAGAGCAAAGACGAACATCTAAAACTGACAGCATCTGAATGCAAGAATCTTAGAGTTGAGCTGGCTGATTTGAAACTAGCCTTTACCAAGATTTCTCCCAAACCTGTATTCAATCAACCCCCCCATATAGTAATGACTGACTTTGAAAGAAAACATAAAGATGATGAGAGTTGGTTTAGTCCAGGCTTTTACACCCACATTGGTGGCTACAAGATGTGCCTTAGAATTGATGCCAATGGATGGGGTAGTGGTAAGGGTACTCATGTTAGTGTAGCTGTCTCAATGATGAAGGGAGAGTTTGATTCCCATCTCAAGTGGCCGTTCAAAGGAGAGATCACAGTTGAACTGGTCAACCAGAAAGAGGGAGGAGTAAAGTATGAGCAAAAGCCAGTTAAACACACTGATCCAGATGAACGTGACGAAAACTTTCCAAAGAGTGACTGAGGGCGATAGAGCTGAGGGAGGATGGGGCTATGATAAATTCATCTCCCACTCAGATCTCTACAAACCTGAAGAGGGTAAAGAGTACCTGGTGAATGACACTCTCATTTTCAGAATCACCAACGTGGAAGTCACTAGCGTCTAAAAAAACATTTTTGCTGTAGAGTGATGAATATTATTTTGTACACGCCCATTTTTACGCCGCACACTTTCATGCGCGCAGGGACAGTGGTTCGCTATGCGCATGCGCAGCTAGGCGCGCGCACTTTGCTGCTGGATGGATGGCTATATAGCTAGGCTGCTGGAGCTAGCTGAGTCTTCTGCTACCGACTGCACTGCATGCTCCTAGAGTTGCATCTGTAAACTCGAAGAGTTGTATTGTATCCTGCTGTCGGACTCACCGTCCCAGGCCAGCCGACGAGTAATATGGAGGTCTAAAGTTACGGCTGTAACAAACACGTAAGGACTACTAGCAACAAGTACAACACTTCTAGCTGATGTATGTACTCATAAACCGGTAGACGAAGCCCTTATTCTCAGCTTCATAAGCAGACGTCTGTTTTGATAGGCCTAGCAGCCCCGCCCCCTAAAGTTGTGCACCGACCCATGAGAAAGTGAGGACTAGCTAAAACAAAGGCAAAAACTCCACTTGCAGCAAACATACATGTACATACAAACGTCTTGCTGTTACAGCTGCTTATGTATTGTGTGTGAAAGTGATCATAGTACAGAGCATAATAATGTACAGTCAATAAATGTATTATTCCTGATGTGTTCTTGTTGCTGCAGGTAAAGGAAATGGACAGACTGCAGGCTCTGAGAGACACGGCTAACCTCCCAAGAGCTGTAGCCCCGCCCCCTGCTGTCTCCAGTCCAGTCACCAGTGGTGGAATGGAACGGAGTCTGAATGACTCCGGTCTGGACCTGAGGATGGATGACAGCCTCACTGACATGCAGTGGCTGCAGAGAATGGATGCTGGTGAGTTATCATACGTAAAGTGAAACTTCCGAAAAGGGACCCTCTGAATAAAGGACACCTCTCTATAAGGGACACTTGGTTCTGCCCCATACCAATACATTAGTGACACCTCTGAATAAAGGACACCTCTCTATATAGGACACTTGGTTCTGCACCATACTAATACATTAGTGCATTATACTACCTCCGAATGAGGGACCCTCTGAATAAAGGACACTTTTGATGTAATCAAGATATCTCCATTATTCAGAATCACTCAATATTGATATACTAATATGTGTGTGCATTCCACACTGCATTGCTGAGAAAGTCAGTCAACAATCAGAAAAAATAATTTCTTTGATTCTCTCTCTCCAAAGGCTCAGAGATTCCAGGATTTGTCCAGAAGCCACTCAGAAAACGACTACCAAAGTCGGACAAAGAGAACCAAAGGCTACCGAAACAGACCAAAGACGGTTGCCGTAAGCGACTTCACTACGATTCGACCACTGTCGGGGAGGGAGGAGGGAGAGAAGGAGGGAGAGAGGCGGAGAAGGCTACGAGCAATAAACCACCCCTGTCCTACGCATCCCTGATTGTCCTAGCCATCAGCAGCACGCCGCAGAGGATGCTGACATTGAGTGGGATATATCGCTGGATCGAATCAACTTTTCCCTTCTACCGCACACCTGAATCAAAGGCCTGGAAGGTATATATACACATGGATGCAGCTGTTGACTCTTTTGCTTGGCCTTTTGCCTTGATACTTCATTAGAGTCACATACATACATACTTTACAGAGACATTTTTGTCACACACATTACATTAACCCTTTGCCTGCAGGCACGCTAGACACAGCCAAACAAGAGAAGCAACACACAGATATCTGTACTAGCACTTTATGTACTAGTGAAAAATGCTGGTCCCTAGAGTGTCCATTATTCAGAGGTTCCACTGTATTATATGTGTGTGGTCATAACTTGCAACCCAATAAAAGTGCATATTATATTCATGATCTAAACTACTAGGTACTATGAGTCCCGATCATGAATAACAACACATATTAGACATAACTGCACAATGTTTAACTTTGTGTGCAAGCTCAATATTGCTTCCTAACAAGCACCTTTAATAGACGCAGTGATTCCCACTCCCTCTTCAGCTTTCTGTAATAACAATATGAACTTATGATGACAATGTTTATGTGAATGGTGCTTTTAGCATTGTAAAACAGTGCCTGCCTACAAATTCTCATGTAGAACACTTTCTCAGTCAAAACTGCAAAAGTTTAATTTAAAGCTGTATACAATTGGTCTGTCTGTTTTTATCTCCTCACAGAACTCCATTCGCCACAATCTCTCCATCCGCAAGAACATGTTTACCAAGGTCCACCAGTACCCTCCTCGCCGTGGCAACGGGTCCTACTGGGCCCTCCTATCAGACGGGGAGGACGAGCTGGCGAGAGCCCACCCTCTCTTCACCACCCTCCTCCCTCCCGTCATCGACCCAGACAGCGTCTACTGCCGAACTCCACTCACTCACACAGTGAAGAGCAGGGGACAGTTCATGCCGGTTTTTCCAGATACAAACCGAGAGACGCCATATTTCGCACTCAATGCCCCCGCTAACGACGGGTCGTCTCCCGTAGTTACACACTCGTTAGCGTCGTCGCCCCCGGCACATTTCCAGGAAATTGAGGTGACCACGGCAACGAAAAAACAAAAGAGGGTCGCGGAAAATTGTCCAAATAAGGTGACGGTTTCGACACACCATCTGTTGGAGCACAATTACTCGAAGACGGTGACCTTTGAACCAGAGCTACAGTTGGTGGAAGAGGAGCTGGCGGCCGAGGATCTGGTGGAAGGGTCGTTCATGCCCCATTCCAGTGCTGGAATGGAATCGGGGCAGGGAGGATTCATGGAACGAGGCATTCTTCAGGTGAGAATTTTATAATTGCTCTGAAGTTTTGAGTGAGATAGGGGGGGGGGTAAATGGTTGGAGTGAGACAGAAGAAAAATACGAAAGATAGCATTGATACAGGGAGCCAGATGTATTATAGGGGGAAAGACAAAAGATAGGAGCGAGATAGGGGAAAGATGAAGATCGAGATAAGGGGGAAAGATTAAGATCGAGATAAGATACCCACTAAGTGATGTAGACTTTCTCCCCTCACTGCAGGTGGATGTTTGTGATTCAACCACCGACATTCCCCACACTACCAGCAGTCCTGTGACCACGCCCACCCACCATGACCACGCCCACATGGACTCGGTGGCCGACTGCAGTCTGACGAGCCTTCTCGGAACTTCCTTCCTCACTCCGACCAAGATGGCGGCCATTAGTGATCTTTCTTTCGACGCAATCTCTTTCTCCCCTCTCTATAACTTCGTCACCCCACAACGAGAAGGGACTTCCCCTCCCGGACAACCGGCGGTGATGTCATCGCATTCTGGGAACCACGGTAACACACTCACACCCAATATACATTGCCATGAGAACCACTCTACCACACCCCTCCGTTCTGAAAATACTACGTTTTCTAACACTTCAAATGAGACTGGTGGCATATTTACCAGAACCACTGATCCCATTCCGGTTCCAGTCTCGGACCAAGACACAACACCGTCTCATTCCAGTTCCATCACTGGAATCGGGATCTCGGAACTGGACAGCGGAGTATTTTCGCCGTTCTCGACCTCCCTTTGTTTCAGCACTCCACTGGGACTGAAATCAGTCAGTCCACTGATGGATCTACCGGGCAATGTCTTTAGCACTCCTCAGTCGACCGAACATACACGAAACTCGACACCAAACTTTGGAGGAGGGGGCGCGTACCACGGAGCCACTCCAACTAGAAAATCTGGTTCTAGACAACTGTTCCCTCTCTCTTTCTCCAGCCCCACGTCTTAGCTCTTACTTACGCCATCACACACTATCACACATTACCATTGCATACGTACACAACGAAGCATTATACAGCAGTACTCTATAGTTGTTGCACACAGCAGCAGTTGTATTTCATCGGAAAGTGAAACTCTATATACATAAGCCTAGTACTATAGTTGCACACAATAGTCAATGTATATTCTGGTTTGTGTATGATGTCATCCTGTCTTCACAATAGGACAGTTTTAACCCCTTCACTCCATTGTACCATATTATGTAATACAAAGACTATGATTAATGTTACGAACTATGTGCTGCAACATTTGAAGAACACAAAGTGCATGTAAACTCGTTGATAAAGGGTCAACTTGTTCGCATTCCTTGTTTTATTTATAACCCGTTACTAAACTTACACGAAGGTTAAAATTCTGATTTTATTCACACTACAGAAATGAAAGAAAAATATTTTTTTTATGTATGTAGGATTGTCTCACAAACCACCAAATTTTTGTTGTCTCACAAATTTTTATCGGGCAACCTGATTATTTTTTCTCGGGTGACAGTCTGTCAGTGATTGTCTTGAGTTCTATGGAGACCTGTTTACCTCCTCGTGCGAGGGACGATTTCGTCTCCAAAAACGCTTCTTCTCTTGTCTTTGCGTCGAGTTCCCGAACGCACCTCGACAGGACGTACTTCGTTCGATCCAATGCCAAATATTGCACGTAGAGCTTGTAATTCGAGCCGTTTCGAGGCCGTTCGCGACCGAGTTTTACAAACGGTCGATTCTTGAACCCGTCCTGGACGAATTCTGCGAGACACTTCAAATGCTTTTCCCAGCTCTCCCCGCGTTTCTCCAGAACCGGGCAGAGTTCCTTTTCGATGGCCATGTCTGCTTCGACAAGACTCTGAGCAAAGTCCACCTGAATCCGGAACACCTTCTCGATGTTTAGAACTTCGAACGAAAGCTGACGAAGAGCTATGTGGACCCGCTCCATGCTTTGCTGATCGAGGAAATCTTGGATCATGGCCAGACTCTCGATCGGGATCATCTCTTTGAGTTTCATCTGCACCGACTTGAACAGAAACATGTACTCTTGGTAGAAGTTAAACGTGCTCATCATGATATGTCTCAGAAGCCGCTCCTGCGTATCGGTGGGCGGAGAAAGATTTTTCAACGCTTGGCTACGATTAGCCATGTGAGTGAAGGTATCTGACAAATCTGCCTGGGCTTTTGCGAGATCTCTTAGCGGGTGATCGCCTTCCACACGTTTTGGGCTCGAATCTTCGATGTTGAGAGTGTCTGTCAGCTGCTGGTAGATCGGTAGCGTCTGCTCAATGTTTCTCTGTAAATTCGCCAGTTCCGCTTGGAGAGATGCGATTTCATCCATGCAGCTTGCCTGTAGCGACTGCTCGAGTGTGCTCGCGTCTGCGGGTGAAATAGGACCGTCGATTTGCGACAAAAGAACTTCTTCCAGCTCCGTGCAACAACCGTTGCACACGGGGTAGGTCTCGAATCGATTCGGTCGGGATGTCGGGGTGCCTTCTTTCCCGTTGATTGCCCAACTAGCCGGCGACTCTTTGAACATGCAGAAGAGGATTATTTCTTGTTTCGTGCACTCTCGACAGAACACCTGGCCGCAGACTCGACAGTTGATTTTTCGCAGCAGCCCCAAACGGAACCTTTTCCCGCACTCGGGTGCGAAACACTCGCTGGCTTTCGAGTCGGGAACCCAATCTTTGCTCTTTTGCCAGTTTGGTGTCCCGATCACGGCTTTCAAAGCGTTCTGACCCTCGTAGCCTTTCACGAGGCGATCAATCTCGCCGCGGATTCGCTCCGATTTCAACGTGGACCTCGGTTGGGCCGACAGTGGCGTAGCTTCGACGACCAATTTCTGTTTCACGGCGCGTTTTGCCTCTTCTCTGAGTGCGATGAAATCGTGTTTCAGGTCTCGGTAGCGCCCGGAGCGAAGCGTCAAGTTGAAGCATTTCTCGCAGACGTTCCGGAAGGTTCCGAGAGGGTCCGGGTCAGCATTGGGGGACAGCTTTCGCAGAAATTTCGAGCACTTCCGGCAGAAGACTTCGCCGCACATTCCACAGTTTCGCTTACGGTCTCTGAATCGAAATCGGCGACGGCAGTTCTTTTCCGCACACTTTGCGGCATTGTCGAACGAAACGTAGTGATCCCTTCTCAGGGTATCGGTCTCTGCACGTGACCTCGGGAGCTGTTGGACGTTTGAGGTTGTAGAACCTCCCCGCTTCTTCTTTTTGAAGAGTTTGCGTCCTTCAGGGCTTGGGGAACCTCTGACGCTCGATTCGGGTTGAGGGCTGTTGCTAGCGAGAAGAGCGCCGTCCGTACCGCTTCGGTCTCGCTGCGGAATCCGCTGTGCGCCGGGCAGCGTCGGTGCAGGAGAGGGGTCAGGGAGAGGAGGGGAGGTTGGGGGAGAGTTGCCGAACGTCGCTTTCTCGTGCATCCGAGGTAGAGTTGCGATGAGGTCCTTCGGCTGGACGCCCATGTTGGAGAGCCGTCTAAACAGCGGGGTCCTGCAGTGGAAGAACAGGACGAAGAGGCAGAGAACACAGGCTCCACTAGAAATTAGCTATATAGAAACAAAAAGTCGCGGCTGTATTTTGCAGCGCAGAACATGCACGGTGACTCACCTCAGCTCGTACGGCTGTTCGTAGAAGCCACTGTAGGGACCGCCGTTGGACGCCATTGGCTGCCGCTGGTTCAGATCCGCCGGCAAACTGGAGCTAAATAACTTTCCTGGTCCGCCGAGAAAGGGAATTCCCCGAGGGTTTGCCCTATTCAGAAGTAACCTTTGAACCCATCTACGTGTTTTCGGGCATGCGCAGTAAATCCCAATTCGTTAAATTAGGGGGAGAGGCGTACCAAGCAATATTGAAGTCAGCAGTTGAGCTGTGGCATGCAAGATGTCGTTTTTCGGGAAGATAAAGTCTGCCGTGATGGGCAACCCCGTCACGAGGGAGTACGAGATAGGGCGGCAGGTGGCGAGCGCTGGTCCGGGGCTGCTGTGGAAGGTCCACCAGGCAACAAGAAGAGCACTAGACAGGTGGGCGTTAGCTGGAACACTGCAGCTTCATTTTTATGTGTTTTTTCACTCTAGTCGCCGCCACAGGAGATGTCGGTGTTTATGTTCAACAAACAGACTCCGGATTTCGAAAAGCTGCACAAAAACAGCGTGAGATGATTCTAGAGATGTTGAGAAAAGGCCCGAATCACCTTATTCGTCTGAGACATCCGCGACTGCTGACCATCGACCATCCTCTGGAGGAGTCAAAGTTAGGAGAGAGAGAGATAGAGGGAGGGGAGGGAGGGAGAGAGAGAGAGAGAGAGTGTACTTTTCTCTATCCATGCAGATTAAGTTTTTCGTGCCATGTTTCTTTTCTCTTTCTCACAGCGATTGTCTAGCTTTTGCAACTGAGCCTGTGACAATTGGCCTAGCTAACATTCTTGGTAACTATGACAACCTACCCTCTCCCCTCCCCCTCACCATCAAGGTTCGAAACATTCCCATATAGATTTAACCCCCTATCTCCCGTCTTAAAATTTAACCCCCTTTTCGCCACTATCAGGAATATGAAGTTCACCCGATAGAGATACAGTATGGACTGTATAATTTGAGCGAGGCGTTGGAATTTCTCCACTGTGGAGTGAAATTGATGCACGGGAACATCACCCCGGAGGTCGTCGTGGTAACGGCGGGAGGGACGTGGAAGTTGATGGGATTCAATTTCTGCTGCCATTCTCAGTACCAGAGCGAGACCACGGTTGGTGACACATGACGCCGTACATGTTCCCCCCTCCAATTTCTTTGATATCAGTACAACCTTATTATGCATACACTCCCAGATTTCATTGAATTGTAGGAAGCTGATTAAAAACCTTTTATTTATAGCCATTCCTGGAAGTATACTTATGTATGAAAGTTTATAGTCTTTTAGTATTTTTGTGACATTTTTGTTATCACTCAAATTGTTTTCGCATCCTCTTGTTGTGTCCCCAGACCACGTTTCAGTTCCAAGAATGGGACTCCAGACGACCCCACGACACGAACCCGTCTCTAGATTTCCTGGCTCCGGAGTACGTCCTCACGAAATCCTGCAGCGAAAAGAGCGACGTGTTCTCATTCGGAATGCTCTGCTACTCCGTCTACAACGGCGGTCGGCCGCTCTGCAGCAGCCTCAATAATCTCCTCTCTTTCAAGCAAAACGTAGAGACAGTGAGTAAAAGATATAGCACTCCCAAAATCTTTTGTTAGTTGTAGTTTTGTTGAGAACGGTATATAGCTCTCTGTGGATGTCAAAAATTGCAGCTATGTAGCCAAAATTTGTGTGCATTGTACCGTGCATTCCACCCCCGTGCATGAATATCATTAATGGCGGATGAATATCATTAAAGGAAGAGTAAACCACAAGCACTTGGGTCAAGTCGCACTATAAGAGTGGAGGCGAAGCGGCGCAGAAGCAGAGGTGTCCGCCCGGGGAATGCGCTTCCCCGGGTTGTAATTTAAATGTGTCCGATTTAAATAATTTTTGGAAGGCTGTGCTTTTGCACGGCCTGGCAATGAATAAAAATCAAAAACAGAATGCACAATTGTTCTTCATCTCTCTTCTCCCTCTCCCCTTTCTCTGCTTTGTTTGTTGTGTATCTTTTCTCTCTCTCTCTCTTTCTGTGTCTCAATGTATGTGGAAGAGAATGCACCGTTGTTTGGTCTTATCTTCCCTCTCTTTCTCCGCTTTTCTTCCTCCTTTTTCTGTGTGTTTTCGCTGCAGGATTTCGAGGGTATGTTGTAGTATAATACTTTATTTTGCTGTTTTGGGAGGTAGAAGGAAAGAGTAGACTGCAAATTTCATGCACTGTTCGTGTTGTATGACATAGAATGCCGATGTACTGAGTGTAAAGTTTACATACGCATGTGTGTGCATGTTTTTCTCTTCAATTGTTGATTTTCTGTTCCATTCCACCAGATCAGTCGTGTCACGGAATCGGGACTGGGGGAAGTCCCGCATGGACTGCGGACACTCGTCAGGACCATGTTAGCTGTGGAGCCGAGTGTCCGACCGGACGCCATGGAGATATCGAAAGTACAAACACCACAACACCTCTAGTATCAAATGTTTATCTGCCGTGTTTCTAAATAAAGCACGCCTTCTTTGACGAGGTGGGTGTGGCTACCCTCCGTTACCTGGATACGCTGTATGAGAAAGGGGACATGGAGAGGTCTCAGTATTTCAGAAAACCTGGCTCTTGTCATCACAAAACTTCCAAAGGTTATTTATACCTGTTTACCCAGTTTTCTAAACGTGTTTAGTTGCCCGTTTGATGTTGATGTTGTTCTTTTGATTTTGTCTTTGCTTCTTTTCTATCCTCTCTGCTCTTTCTCTCCCTCCCTCCCTCTTCCAGAGAGTAATTCACCAGAGGGTAATTCCGGCTCTAAAACAAGAATTCAGAAACAACAAGATGGTTCCGTTTGTCCTTGCCCATCATTCTTCTAGTGGCTGAAGACTGCACAATGCAGGAATACGGTGATGTAATCATGCCCAGTCCTCATTCCAGCACTCCGGATTCAGGATCCAATTCAGGTAGCATTGGACTGTATGTGGAGATAAGTAGATATCAATAATGCCCAGTGCAAGCGCTACTGAAGAATGGACCCACACTTTGTTTATTTCTCTTCTTTCTCCCAGCCTGTGTGTTGTTTTAGTCACCCACCCACCAGATCAACTAAGACCACACCCCCTCTCTCTCTCTCTCTCCTCTCTCTCCTCTCTCTCTCTCACTACCTCTCTAACTCCTCTAGTCTCTCTCTCCTCGCCTCTCTCTCTCGTCCCTCTGCTCTCCGCTCTCTCCGATTCTGCTGCAGAAGATGGATCTACTGCTGAAGAAAACATCGCCGGAAGACGTCCGGCAGCACGTGCTACCAACGATCATCGCTTCCTTGGAAACGACTAACACACAGCTACAAGTTGGTGTACAGTGGAACCCATGAATATGGGACACCTTCGGGACATCAAGTGTCCTTATTACCTGTCCCATATTGAGTATGGGGCAGAACCAAGTGTCCTTTGTAGAGAGGTGTCACTAATGTATTAGAATGGGGCAGAACCAAGTGTCCTTTATAGAGAGGTGTCCTTTATCGGAGGGTCCTTTTTCATTGTATCTACTTTTGACCCATATTTGGGCATTCTGACCCCATTTTACTCTCTCTTGCCTCCTCCCTCTCTCTTTCCCTCTCAGGAGTTGTGTATAAGTCTAATCCCGTCGTTTGCGACGACCGTCGACTACTCTTCGATGAAGCATTCCATCATCCCCAGACTTACGGCTCTCATGGTCTCCTGTGAATCTGTCTCCGTGAGTAGTTTAGTGATGATGTAATGGTGTAAAGTGAGGGGAAACATTTAGCGATGATGTAATGGTGTAAAATGAGGGAAACAGGTTAGCGATGATGTAATGGTTTAAAGTGAGGGAAAGCTTTTAGTGATGATGTAATGGTGTAAAGTGAGGGAAAACTTTTAGCGATGATGTAATGGTGTAAAGTGAGGGAAACAGGTTAGCGATGATGTAATGGTTTAAAGTGAGGGAAAGCTTTTAGTGATGATGTAATGGTGTAAAGTGAGGGAAAACTTTTAGCGATGATGTAATGGTGTAAAGTGAGGGAAAACTTTTAGCGATGATGTAATGGTGGAAACAGGTTAGCGATGATGTAATGGTTTAAAGTGAGGGAAAGCTTTTAGTGATGATGTAATGGTGTAAAGTGAGGGAAAACTTTTAGTGAACTTCAAGTTAGTTTTTTAGCACACTCGTTTTAGTAGATGAAGGTTCATTTGTCATTCCGTGCGATTTTCATGTACACTAGGGTGTTGAAATGTGGATGTATTGGTTTACCTCTATAATTCCTCGACCACCACGTTCCTTTTAACCCTTTTGCAGCTGCGTGTGAAGTGTCTGGTTGCCGTGGGGAAGATGCTGGACGCTCTGGACAAACACATCGTCCACGACCACATCCTCCCTCTCCTCCAGCAGATCCCGTCCCGAGCACCTGGAGTTCTCATGGCCATACTAGGTTCCGTTCCACCCTGTCTCATTCCCATGTCCCCATACCAATGACGTCATCGTCATAAAATCGACATGTATCCTTTATTCAGAGGCGTCTCATAGTCCGGAAGTAATGCTATGGGGTAGAATCAAGTGTCCTTTATAGGGAAGGGGAGATTTTCACTGCGTTTATGCACACACCGATGATGTCATTATGATGTAATGCCATATTATAGGTATCTACCATGCGGTGATGAAGAACAAGAAGATCGGAATGGATAAGGTGCTCCTGGCAACCAGAATTCTTCCCTTCGTAGTTCCATTGTCAGTGGAGCCTACTCTAAATGTTGCCCAGGTGGGTATATACATGTGTCCGTAATGCAAATAGTGTTATAGAGCAGAAATTTGACTAACTTTCGCAAGCATGAAAGAAAGTTTTGATATGATTATTTCCCCAATAGTTCAAGCAGTTTATGGTGGTGATACGGGACATGCTGCAGTCTGTGGAAACAGAGCAGCTGACTCAGCTCGAGCAGCTGTCACAGATGGAAGAACAGACAAGGTCGGGGGTCGTTTTCCCGCCTTTTCCCCACTAGTTCTCCCGTTCACTTTCATACATCTCCCACCAATTTTCCCCACTCTTTTAATTCATCCTTTTACTGAAACTGATTTCCCGCCAATTTTTGACCTCTGACCCCAGATCGACAGTAGAATTTGCCCGAGACGTGGCAGAAGCAAAGGCAATGGAGGACACAATAAACAAGTTTGAGGAGACGTTTGGCAGTGGCGGGTCACATGACAGTCATGTGATCCAGAGGAGAGGATCCGCCACTCCAAAGAGTCCTCCCTCTGGCTATGGACTGACAGCTGCAAAGTCTTCTTCTAATGACGTGAGATGATGTTTTAAAATTCTCAGATCTATCCAGTTGTTATGATTATGCATTAACCCCCATTTCGTATTTTTTCTTCGTTTTCTCAGGGTGGTGACATGTTTGCTGGACTGTTGCCAGAGCAACCCTCCATGGCGACCACGTCCACTTTTTCCCCCTCCCCTCAACTCCCCAAATCCACATCCCCCCACACCCTCCCAACTCTCCCTCCTCCCTCCATCTTCCCTACCAGCAAGACCAGCAGTGGTACTGCATCGAAACCAATGACATCATCTCATACCAGTTCCAGTGTTAGTGGAATGGGAATGGGGGTATCAGGAGGTGCATCATTACAACCGATACAGACCGGCGTTAGTGGAATGGGAATGGGGGTATCAGGAAGTTCACAACTGCGTCAATCGTCATGGAATACTGGTGGTGTTGGTGGAACGGGAATGGGGTTATCGGGTATGGGAATGAGACCCACACAGACTGGAGGGAATCAGCAACAGCCACTAAAATCAGTCCCAGTCCAGAAATCCCATTCTGGATCAGGAATGGGATACACTCCTCCAGCTGGGTATAGAGGGACTGGAATGGGTATGGGCACAGAGAGTGGAGGAACGGGAATGGGTTCAGGAAGTGGTAGGATTGGAATGGGTTCAGGTAGTGGTGGAATCGGAATGGGCACAGGGAGTGGAGGAACGGGAATGGGTTCAGGAAGTGGTGGGATTGGAATGGGTTCAGGTAGTGGTGGAATCGGAATGGGCACAGGGAGTGGAGGAACGGGAATGGGTTCAGGAAGTGGTGGGGTGGGAATTGGTTCAGGTAGTGGTGGAACGGGTTCAGGAGGTGGTGGAATGGGAATGTGGAGTGGAAATTCTGGAATAGGTATTCAGAACACGCAAAGCAACCAACATTTAAACCCTCAGCCAATTAACCCCCAGCCCACTGGAGATGGAGGTAGTTTGTTTAGTGGGATGCAGGTACATGCCAGCTCGGAGGCTTCTAAGGGGTTAACGAACAATACTTCATGGACCAATCAGATCGCAGGACGGAGTCACATGGCTGGAGGTGATCTAATTGGTGGGAGTGCCCCCTATGTTCCCACGGAAACGAGATCAGCAACAGGCTGGTCGTCCGACGTCAACAAAGGAAAAGTAGCTGTCCTTGCAGATCCAAACGCGGGATGGTCCGGCAATATTTCCCAGCCTGTCCAATCCGCCAATTGGATGTCCCAAGATCAACAAACACTGACCCCTAATGTTGCTCCATTGAACAATTGGACACCAAATCAGCAGATGATGGCTCCTATGCAACCAAACGCTGCCCCATCTGGCAATTGGACATCTCAAAATCTAAGCCAACCGAGTGTGATGGCTCCCATGCAACCTAACATTGCCCCATCGGGCAATCGGACAATACCAATGCAGTATCAACAGCAACCTTTTGCGCAATCGGGAAATTGGACGGCCCAAAATCAGAGTACAGGTGTTGCATCGACAGCGGCCAGTTTGATGATGGGCGGCCCGTTGCTGCAACCTGGTAACTATAGCAACCAGGCCCCTGCAGCGCAACCACGGCAACCAAACACGTCGGGAAATCCTTTTGCTGACCTCAGCTTCTTAGAATGAGAGCATTACTGATTATTGCTCCTTGTAAATAATTTATATGTGGACTTCAATTTTACACTGCTGTTTGATTGTGTACATTAAATTTGGTTTGTCACATTGGTATAATCATTGCTTTTGTCACATTTTCGTGGTCTACAATCCTTTGGAATGTGAAACATTTTTATAAATCACAGTTGTGCACAATTTGCAGTGGTGCAATAAGATATAATATAGTGTCTAAACATTAATAAGTGACGAGACAAGGAGAAACGTGTTTTGTTGTTGTGGTTGTTTACTTGCTTCCTTTCAATTTCTCCAACCTCCGACGGAAGTCCTCCAGGTGGGCGGAGCTTGTGGGTAGTTTAGTGGTTTCCGTGGTAGCCAGAGGCTTAGACAAAACAGGAGCTACGGCAGGCTATAATTGAGAGATAACGGTTTTTACCAAATTTAGAGCGGATACGAAAATACCACCTACCATGTTTTCGTCACTGGTAGGCGGAGCTTGGGTGGTTGCCCTTGAAACCAGTGGCGACATCCCAGTCTTGTCAAGTTCCTACAGAAAGTCATGTGACAATCACATGAGATCACATGATCCAGTCAAACTAACTATATTCAGTAGGTTCGCGGTCTTCTCACGAAGCTCTCTCGACTTCTTTCTTCCCTGAATGTAGTAATCTGTACACACCGTAATGTAGTAATCTATACACAGCATAAAATTATGTCGAATACTAAATTTCGTTTTTTGTGTTAGCACAATCATAATTACCCGAGGCTATCATTTCTTTTCTGAAAACTGCTGCGAAAAGAAGAAAGAAAATGATTGTTAAAGGGAATGTGGCAGTATGCAACAGTGTACCTGGTGTTTTTCCGCGGTCTAGCATCCGCTGCTGTTCTCTCATCAGCTCCATACCCTTCACAATATAGGACTGATAGAGTGAGCTCTGGCATCTGACAAGAGAGAGAGAGAGAGAGAGAGAAGATGAGACGAGAGATGAGAGAGAGGAGAGAGAGGGGATGAGAGAGAGAGAGGGAGATGAGAGAGAAGGGGCCCTATTTATCATAATCAGCAACACCAGTACCAGTCCCAGTCCAGAAATCCCATTCTTTACTCAAATTTCTCAAACTAACCTAAACAAGGAAGGAATATCGACATCGGGGTGTGACTGCTGAAAGACGTAGAGCTCCTTTAACCCCTGATGTTCCGTATCCGGGGCGATCTTATCAATAATCTCCCCTAGCAACACGAGATCCTTCAACGACAGCCCGTCGTGAAGGAACGGGCTTTTCTCGACCGTCGCTCCCTCTTTCCCCGATCTAGACGAAGCAGCAATCTCTCCGTCTTTTCCGTCGACCTTGTCATCGTGTGTTTTAGTCGATCCAGTTGAGCTGACACGTTTCTTTGCGAGGGTTTTCCTGACGTACACCGCTACCCTGGACTGCTCCGGGACTAAGGAGAGATGATCCAGGATCTGAAAAAGAGAGGGAGGGGAGGGGAGGGAAAGGAGGAGGTAGTTAGAAAATCATGATACATCGTAGGATGGAGAAGAAAGTGTAAAAACTATAATTTGAACCGTCAATTAAAATGACATAAACCACTGAAATGAGGACACCTCTCAAATAGAACCACCATGCCTTTCCCCGAGAACTTGCATGCAATTTTAACCCCTGAAACACCTAACTAATATGGACACTTTCTTCTGTCCCATTGGTGTCTGGATTAGAGGAGTTCCAATGCACTCGCAAATATCAGGTTAAAAATAAGACAGAGAGGAAAAGAGAGACGGCACACTTAGTTAACAAACCTCTGTCCCCATGTGCTCAGTGAGGTGGAACAGAATTGTCTTTGCGGTGCGATACAGCTTGTCGTCAGGTCTTGGGCTAGGAACAATCTCGGAGTACCCGTGAAAGAACGCCTGCATCTCTTTCAGGAGTTCGGCAACTTTCAGTCCCGGCAGGTACTGAGGAATCTGGCGGGTCACCTTCCATATACACTGGGGGAGGGAGGGAGGGGGAGGGAGGAGAGAGAGAGGGAGGGAGGAGAGAAGGAGAGAGGAGAGAGGGGAGGGAGGAGGGAGGGAGAGAGAGGGAGGGAGGAGGAGGGAGAGAGAGATGTAAGAGGTAATGAAGCGAGCAAATCGGTTTACCTCACGTACGTACATACCTTCATCGACAGTTCGGTTAGCTTTGTCTGAGACCCATCTGATGAAACTGATTTCAACAGCACACGGAGTAGCGAACTGAAATTTAAAACAAGTTAAGTTACCCCTATTTTTTTATTTTTTTTTTTTTTTTTGTTTATTTTATTTACTTTTTTTTTTTTTTTTTTTATTTTTATTTTTTTTAATTTTTTTTTTTTATTTTTATTATTGGTTCTTTTTTTTTTTTTTTTTTTTTTTTTATTTTTTTTTTTAATTTATTTTTGGTGTTTGTCTCAGTTCTTTTTTTTTTTTTGTTTTTTTTATATCTTTTTTTTTTTTTTATTTTTTTTTATTTATTTTTTTTTTTTTTTTTTATTTTTTTTGTTCAGTTTTTATTTGGTTTTTTTAATTTTATTTTATTTTTTTATTTTTTTTTTTTTTTTTATTGAATTTTTTGTTCGTCGTGCTTGTTGTTGCGCCAGTCAGCGCGGAGCCAACCCAGTTCCACCCTTATTCTCTCTTTCCAGCCACTCGGGAGAGGTAGCCAGCAGTTCGTTGACCGTGCAGTTAAGGAGTGCGGGGAACCCAGCTCCAACTCGGCTCACTGGCCGCTCTAGAACACATCCTGACCCTGAAGATTCGGGTTAGCCTATACATCAGCCCCGCCCTTTCTTGCAGGTCGCTATCTTGGACTACCTTGCGTGTACGTAGTGTGGTATACACCGACACATATCCAACCGACTAGCAACAGAGGGAAAGGCACAAATCTGCTCTGAAAAACAAACTATCATGATTGCACTTCTCCTAAAGTTGCTCAATCGGTTTGAAAGCCTATCTCTGGTCCTTGCCATGGTTAGCTCTCAGCTAGCCTAAGCCCGGTGTCCACAGTAATATTTTAATATCTCCCCGGCTACCCTATCTCGGGGATAGTCATATTCTATCCGGCGCGATCAGAATACTCTTAGTGTGGAAGATCCGGGGTCCGGATATTTGATCCTCTAATCAGAGAAGCTTCTATGCGCATCACGGTTGCGGCATCTAAACGCGCGGGACCATTTTGGTTGGCGCCGTCGCTGCTCGATGCATACAGGAGTGAATCTGCACACGACTGCACTCTGTTTCCTATTCCTTCGCGACACAGCGGTGCGCCGGCGTCGATGCTCGTCCTTCACTCTGCTGCGAACCTGACCTGAGCTCCACGCTCGCTGGGATATCCGCGTCGGTAGTGGTTCTACAGTCCGCTGCGTAACTCCAAACACAAGGCTATCATCGCATTCTGTAACGTCAACATCCCACACGAACCTCAAAACTACCACCCGCATGCGCTCTTTCGACTGTTTCGACACTCCTAACTAACGCACAGCACGAGTCATAAATATCAGGTGCTGGATAGGATATTGCCTAGAATTTTTATCCGGGGGGGAGGGATAGAATATGTAGTCGCGCCCGGATATAAAAAGTTCGGTGGGGAGTTTGAAATTTACCGCGACAACGGTTGCATTGTTTGCGCATCGCGCATTCATCAAATTAACGACAATGGCGGCCCGAACAACAGGGTTTTGTAGCCTGTAGTGTTGTAACAAAGTGTAGACACATACTCATGCTGTTTGCATGCTATAGAAGACGACTTCTGTCCTATAGCGGGAAGCGTAGCTGGAGCTGGAAGGCGGGGATCGGAGGCGGGAAGAGGCCCTCCGAGGTAAATGGAAGACTTGGCGAGACTGATGGAGAGACGAGACGGTGGGTGGGTGGGGTGGGGCCCGGAGACGCGGGGCGGACGGCGGGGCGGATACGTGGAGCTTTTTCCGACTGGAGGCGCCGGACCAGGAGGGCTTCTTCTCATCGACATCAAGGTTCGCCACACTTCGACTTCCCCTGCACTGTGAACCCACTGGCTGTTGTGCCCTGGCAGTTGGTGAGAGGGACGCCTGAGGTGTTCGGAACAAGAGTATGCTAGGGAACCAGAGCTACTCCTGTGTCAGAATGAAGCTGGCCATGCTTTACCTGGCCACGGCTGCACCCGTTGCGCGCTGGAGGGGGAGCCCGAGGCCGCTTACATCCTCCGAGGGACCCACACATGAATCATGTAAAACGCTGTCAACACCCCACATAGCGGTGGACCAGGTTGCGGCAATCTTCGTCATCTCTCACAACATTTACATGACTAACCGAGAGG